CCCCGCCAACAACCCATCACTAGGCGCAACGACCGCAAGCCCAAACACCATGTTTGATGCTCCCGTGATTGAGATTGCACACCATTCTACCCATCCTGTCCTCTGGAAACACCTACCTGTCTGGGAATCCATCACTACAGATGCCTGGGTACTGTCCATCATCTGCGGCGGCTACCGCATCCATTTCTTCCAACTTCCTCTGGCAACACATGTCATCACTCCACCATATCCAACCCTACAAGAGGAAATAAGGAATTTACTCCTCAAAAAAATGCCATACAACCCATCTCACAACAGTACACATCTCGATGGTTTTTCTCTCATTATTTCACCGTACCCAAAAAGGGCAGAGGTCTTCGCCCTATGAGAGTTAAACAAATACATCATTACCCCAAAATTCTGTATGGTTACCCTCAAATCAGTTGTCCCTTTACTCTGCAAAAATGACTGCTTCACTGTCATAGATCTCAAAGACGCATACTTCCATATTTCCATACATCCTTCACACAGAAAATTCCTTCAATTTCAGCTAGGATCACAAGCCTACCAATTCAAAAGGCTTCCTTTCGGTCTTGCAACAGCTCCAAGAGTATTCACCAAGTGCATGGCACCAATAGCTGCTTACCTCAGGTTTCAAAAACATTCTCATATTTCCATATATCGATGATTGACTCCTCATAGCTCATTCCCATCACAAGGCCCAATGAGACACTCACTTCACCCTTACCCTCCTTCACAATCTTCGTCTTACTTCACCCTTACCCTCCTTCACAATCTTCATCTTACTGTCAATGAACAAAAATCAAATTTGAAACCTACGAAGATTATTCATTATATAGGCACATGCATAAATTCCACACAAGCTCGCACCTTCTTCAGACAAGAGAGAAAATCTCGTCACATTACTTCAAGTTTTCACCCTCATGTTATGGTACCCGCCTTTACTGTGCAACGCGTACTAGGCACCATGGCCTCTATGACTTCACTAGTGCAGCACGTACATCTCAAGATCTCTTCAGTTGTGGTTTCTTGCCCTCTTTGACCCTCTCACAGACCCTCTTCATACTCTTTTAAGGGTCACCCCAGAACTCGCCTCCAAACTTCAGTGATGGCGTTTTCCTCCCGACCTATCCGTCATGGTGGCGTTTTCCTCCCAACCTATCCGTCATGTGGCCGTTCCAACAGCCACAACCACAAATACAGATCACCACCGACACCAGCTTCACAGGCTGAGTAGTTCACTGCAAATGTCTCAAAATCCACGCCAAGTGGTCTTCCAGAGAGAAATTGCTTCACATCAATGAATTAGAGCTGTTGGCGGTTATAAAAGCTTGCAAAGCTTTCAGAAATCTCCTCGCTGGCAAGATGGTACAAATTGCCACTGACAACACCACGGCGATGTACTATACAGTATTCTGAAACAGGGTGGCATCAATTCTCCAAGTCTCCTCTATTTAGCAGTCGATCTCTGGAGTGGTGCCTAGCGCATCATATCTGCCTCATGGCTTTACACATTGCCGGCCATGACAACGACTTGGCCGATCTACTCAGCCTCACAAACTCTCATGCTCACGAATGGGAGTTAGACTAATCAGTTTTTCTTTGCCTATGCGAACGATGGGGCAAGCCAACTCTTGACCTCTTCACCTCCTGTGTGAATCGGAAGTGCAGACGATGCTGCTCTAGAGCCAGCATTGGCAAACACTCCCAAAGAGATGCATTCGTCAGCCGATGGCCCAAGACCCGCACTTACCTTTCTCCGCCATTCCCACTTCTTCACAAGGTTGTGGTTCGCCTACAACAAGACAAACCCAATGCCATTGTTATAGCCCCTTGGTGGCCAAGACAACCCTGTTTTCCGTTCCTTCACAATCTCTCATCAGACATTCACCATCTCCCTTGCCTGCCCACGCAGATCAACGCCCAAGAACTCCACCCAGACTTACCGGTTCTGTACCTGGCAGCATGGAGGATTCCACCTCACTAATGAACGTCCTCCGTCAATCAAAGAAGCCCTCCACTAGAAAGGCTTACCTGTATAAATGGAACAGACTCAATACTTTCACTGAAGCTTCTTCATTGCCTTCTATCAACCCATCACTTGCTACGTTTTTTGCTTCATCTCAAGTCTAGCGGCCTTTCCCTCTCTTCCTTGAAAGTTTACCTCTCTGCCATAGTTTCTTATCAGCCCCCTAACTCTCCGGCAGCTCATTTCTTCAAGCATCCAACAATGAAACGTTTTCTTAAAGGTCTATCTCGTATCTACTCAGATACCTGCCTGCCTTCCCCGCAGTGGTCACCAATACTAGTACTGCAACAATTTACTAAAGCTCCTTTCGAACCTTTAGCTTCAACTGATTTACGGCTACTTACCTTTAAAACAATATTCCTCGTCACCTCAGCTCGATGAGCTACTGACTTAGTGGCCTTAAGTTGCGACTATCCTTACAGTATTTGCATTTTTTTCCGGTTTAAGTCAAACTATCCATGGGGCGACTATCCTTACAGTATTTGCATTTTTTCCAGACTAAGTCAAACTATCCATGGATATTTCTTTCCTCCCCAAAGTTGTATCTCAGTTCCATCTCTCTCAGCTGTTTATCCTTCCTTCTTCCCGTCACTGTCCACAACGCAAGAAAGAATCTTCCATAATTTAGATGTTAGGCGAGCCCTTGCCTTTTACGTCCAACGCACCCAACCTTTCAGGCATTCACCTCGACTTTTCATAAGTCACCAGCCTCCCTACTAAAAGTCGACAGGTGAGGTCTCAAACTATATCTAGATGGGTTGCTTCAGCCATTCACCTTGCGTATCAGCTGGCACGCAAACCAGTCCCAAAGGTGATTCTCCCTCACTCCACCAGAGCAGTGGTGACCTCTAGGGCATTCCTACGTGGTGTGCCTCTCCCAGATGTCTGCGCCTCTGCCACCTGGGCGCAGTCGTCCACTTTCATCCGGCATTATAGGCTTGATCTCTGGCAGAAATCTGATGCTGCTAGGGCATTCCTACGTGGTGTGCCTCTCCCAAATGTCTGCGCCTCTGCCATCTGGGCGCAGTCATCCACTTTCATCCGGCATTATAGGATTGATCTCCGGCAGAAATCTGATGCTGCCTTTGGCTGTGCTGTTCTAGCCTCTACCTTGGTGTGACACCCTGACTCCGGGTAAGAGTTTTTTAGACCTTGGTGTGACACCCTGCCTCTGGGTAGAACCATTTTTTAGTCACCCAGGGTGTGATTCACAGAGGCCACGAAGAAGAACAACAGGATACCCACCTGTAATTGTAGTTCTTCGAGTGGATCTCTGTGATTCACACATCCCACCTGTCCTCCCCACTATCGCATCATTCTGCTTAATGTAGCGGTGGTTGACACAACTGAAAGGGGAGCCTTGGCGCCAAGGTACTTATCCGAGTGGGCAAGGGCCTTATTCTAATGTGGTTTTGCTACCACAGAAGCTCTAGAACTTTCTGATGAGGCTCCATGCATGCGCAGCTTACCCAGGGTGTGAATCACAGATGTCCACTCGAAGAACTACAATTACAGGTGGGTAACCTGTTGTTTTCTAGCCTGCCTACCAAAAGGGGAAGAGAGTTGAGAAGAAGAAAAGCAAAACAAAGAGAAAGAGAAACAGGGACAGTATCTTGTGGAGACAGAACAGGGTCTCTCAAAGTCAATGTTTGCATTTGACTGTTATAGTCAGGCAGAATTTTTGTAAGAATCCTGGCATATTGTTAATGACCATGCCAGCTCACACCACAGTGCTTGATTGTTCCCGCGTAGCTCTTGCTGTGTGCAGGAAACAAATAAGGAACCTTGCGCTTGTGGTTTGTTGAGCATGAGGTCCAACCTAGGTGCTTACAGAGTAGAAACCACTTGTGAAGTTTCATTCCTGATAAGCAAGATTTCTAAAGGATTCTAGCTCCTCATAACGTATTAATTTGGTGAATGCCTTATTATTGAGCCAAGTAAATAAAACTCTCATACAAAATGAAAATTGATCAGGTAGTTTGAGGACATATGCAACCTAACAATCTTTTCTGCATCCTTCCCTCCTTAAGAGCTGGCTTTTCTAACCTTTGAGGAGTTTTATTACTTAAAGTTAAGCTGCAGGATCTTTTTTCCATGCTGATAATAGCTTAGAGGGTTTTTTGCTGATTAGAACGTATTCCTACAGAACTACTTGGCACACGATGAACTGGCTATTGCTGTGGAAATGCTGTCAGCAGTGGTGCTGTTGAACCAGGCTTTGCAGAGCAAGAATATAGCAGAAACAAAGACACATCTCAGCAACCCATCCATTGGCTTTAATAACCTGGAAGAAGAAAACTTGCAGCGGTAAAAGCTTTCATTCTACTTAGATTTCTGTGACAAATTGAGTGTTTATTGTATAGGAGATTACCAGAATCCTAGATGGGTTTAAAGTGTTGTACACAAATATGAGGAATATAGATATTTCTACTTATTTATGTTGCATGGAAGTCCAATAGTAATCTATGCTATGACAGTTTCCTTTTCAGTATATTTCATAGTTAAGTGCCATTAAGTTGATACCAAACTATGGTGATCTCTTCCAAGATTTTCTAGTTATCAAATATTCAGAAGTAATTCTACCATTTCCTATCTTCTGGGGCATTCTGGGACCACATAGCTTGCCTAGGGCCACACAATTTGGCTCTTCTCCTTCATGACGTACTAGGGAACCAATCTCCTGTTCCTTGATTCCATAGACAGGTTCCATAGCCACTCATCCAGCCCCTTTCAACCACACTGGAGACAAAACTGCTGTTGAGTCCTTGCAATATATAATAGAGTTTAAACTGTCTTCCTACAGTTATGCTGATACCCTGATGTCTTTAAAACTAGAAGCTTCATCTCAAGGACAAGAATACTTAAGCTGGAATGATATCCAAAACTGTATTGAAATGGTTAATGCACAAATTCAAGAGGAAAATGACAGTAAGTATCCTGTTTTAAATTTTGTTTATTGTAGCAGAGTTCAGAAAGAAATTACTCATTAAATGGTAATCATTTATTCTTCATTTATGTTCTGTTATATATATATGGTAAACTCTGGCCACAGCCGATCAGCTAAAAAACTGTATTCCAAAGATTGCACCATGCAGTGGTCACTGAGTAAAATACTATCCATTGAAATGGGGAAGTTAGTTTCAATCCCTCTCCTTCAACTCTGTTTGGGGGGAAAAACTTGGAAAGACAGAAGTTCTGTGGGGTTGGAGAGCATGTGGCATACGTGCTTCTATGTACAATTGCTAAAAAACATAATTAGTGGAGGCCCAGAACATCTCCTGGACAGTGGGAACTACCATGGCACTGAAGACTATTATATATGCTAAACATAGTTCAACTTGTCACCAGAGATTACTAAGGGGCAATTTACAGAGTTCACCCAGAACGCAGTGGGTCCTATAAATATCTGAGGAAATGCAATTCCAGGGCTCTTCTAGAAGGTACCATTTGCTCTTGCTTCCATATTGCCAACCCAGTAACACAAGAGAAGCTGCCTATGGATGTCCAGAAACTGTGCACCACTTCTTTCAACAGGTCATTCTGAAACACAAATTGGATGTTTATTTGTGATGGTAAATCCTGTTTGTCAATTGAAAGCACAACGATGAACTAGAAATCCAGTTTAGAGAAAAATCATGAATACTGACACAGACCTTGTTCATTTTTGTTCTTCCTTGTGTGTGAACTTATTTACTTGAAAAGCTGATTTTCTTTTTCTTTTTTTCTTTTTTGCTTAGGGGTTGTAGCAATAGGTTACATAAATGAGGCCATTGATCAGGGAGATCCTACAAAAACAGTAGACGCGCTGCTGCTTCCCACAGCAAAACTACATGGTGTGAAAGAAGCAAATGCACAGCACTACCAAGACGTTCTGAAGAATGCAAAAGCACTCAAATGCCAGGTAGAGGTTTTTATTCCAGACTCTCTCCCCTGCTCTTTTTTCTTCCCAAAATTTTAAATAACAGTGCATCTTGTAATTCCTGCTATGCTCTAGCCTAGCCTATCTTATCCTATCCTGTCCTATGTATGTGATAGCTATACATAATCCCTCTCACACACCAGTATATAAAGAGGCAAGACACAGAAATTGGGTTAAAACTCAGGCCACAACTATTTAAATCTCTGATCTGAGGTGGGGCCTAAGATAGCACAGCAAACCTAGGAATAGGAGCAAGTGGCCCATCCAGGCCCCTTTCCTTTGCCCCAAGGTGGGGGGCCGTTTGCCCCAAGGTGGTGGTGTACATGGCCAGCCTTGCCCCAGCCAGCTCAAAATTGTGGAGACATTCTTGAGCCCGTCTCCATCTCAAATCTCATAAATTGAGGTTGGTTGTCCCCGAGGCTGCATCAGAAGGCTATCCTGTTCGTGCGTGTGAATCACATGATTTGCAGTACCCACTTAGGGCCTCACCTTGGGTCATCTAAGTTTCACCACTGTAATATATATTATGAATGAAAACACTTCTTCACACTTTGTATTGATTCACATAATGCCTCCTGATTTGCTTTTTTGTTTGTTTGTGTGACCATAGTTGCTTGCAATGTTGATAGATGTTTGAAATGATGAATCAAATGCTCATTGTTAGCTTAATGGTTTTTCTTTGTTGTTACTTCAATTTGCTTTCTTAATTCCTGGGACTGTCAGAGGTGGAATTTCCATGTGCCTAATAATCAAATATGGATCCTTTTTTTCAAGAAGAATTTGATGGTTACGTTTCACTGTGTGTGGGGGGGGTCAGAGTGGGAAAGTATACATGCACACATCTGCCTTTACATGTTTCTCCTAGTGGTAGCATGAGGACATCACCTTGTCACTGTGACATGGCAGCACAGTGGAATACTGGCAAATGCTTGGGGGATTCTCTGTCTCAGGTTCCTCCCCTTCTGCTTGCCTGCATGCCTGCACACCACTCAGTGTGGTGCATTGGATAGAATGATGGACTAGAACTCAGAGGACGCCTGGGTTCAAATCCCCGGTCAGCCATGGAAGCTCATTGGCAGAGTGGAACTGGTAAAAACACTCTTTAAATATCTTGTTTACCTTGAAAGCCCTATTAGGGTTGCTATAAGTTGATTCGACTTGATGGCACATAACAACAAAGCAGTGCCATAAGAGAGAGGAGAGGCTGATGCAGTTGTAAGAGGAGCTGTAACAAAGTATGCACTTGTTTTTCCTCCCACCCGTGTTTCAAGCCAGCCCTTGTTTCTTCACTGACCTATTGATGGAATGCTGTTTGTGTACAAGGGAGGACACCTGACACCCTGGGGAGGTGGGAGATGAGGCTGCAGTAGCAACTGGAGGTGTGAATGAGAGCACTGAGAGTAAAAAGTCCTTGCAATAGACTGAGATATCCACAGTGATGCTATCATTGATTAAAAACAAACATACCTCCCCACCAGGTTGGTAAATGCAAATCCAAATGCAAAAAAGGTGAGCTGGGACAACCTGTAGTAGTTTTTCTTGCTGTATTTGTTGCACGAAGGGAAAACCCTATTTGCTTATGGATAGGTACAATTATTACAGTGAGATAAGATGTTTTATTTGGACCACACTACTGCTAAGTTTTGCAATTATAAAAATAAATACATTAAATAAATCACAATGAAAAAAGTACATATGTACAGTTTTGTCAGATATCACAAAAGAGTAGCGTGTCATGTTTGCTCTGCCCTGACTGTTTTAACTGTGTTGAGATAAACAGTGCTATTGTTGTTGTTGTTGATTTTTGACATCAGGAAGTAAAGGAATGGATCAAGACAGCTATTTAGACTACTTAGACATAAAGTAATAAGGTAAAAAACATACAAACTGTCTTTAGAATTATAGTAGTAATTCATATGGTGGGCAAACAATAGGACATTGCTAGGAGTATAGCAAATAGCAAAAATGCTGAGGATAAGCAGACTGACTTTGATGTGCCAGAACCACTTCATATTGTAAGCTTTGAGTGTTCGGATAATTGAAACATAGCAAAAAATAACAATACAGAGAGGAATCATGAATCCACCTATTGCCAGACAGATAAAGTAATAATGTTGAAGGTGTGACAGAGCTTCACAGGTGTTATATACATCATGGCAAGTAATAATATTTAGCTGATCCAGATAATAGGTTTGCTTTGTTGTGATCAGAGGCAACATGTATAAGAAAACAACTGTCCATAGTATCCCACACGTTAGTGTTGAAAGAAGTCGCTTAGGCAGATTCCGGTAAGTGAATGGATGAACAATGGCCACGTAACGACTGAGGCTGATACAGGTGAGAAGCAGAGTGGAACAATACAGATTGCCATAGAAGATAGCAGTCATAATTCGGCACATTGCTTCTCCAAATATCCAGTTGTTTCCATTGAGGTGGTATGTAATTCTGAATGGCAGTGTGATACAGAAGAGAAAGTCTGAAATGGCCAGGTTTGTATAGAATATGGCAGTACGGACTGATCTTATTCTAAAGAACAACATCCATAGAGTGATGGCATTTGATGGTACTCCAATTAAAACAACAGCTATGTATATAGCAGGTATCAGCTTCTTGCTTAGAGAGCTAGTGAGGTATTCCATTGTGATGTTGTTTACTTTCAGCGCTGAAGCGTTGGATGTCTCTGCAGAGCACATACTGCCTTTGTTGTGATTTATCTTTTTTGCCCCTTCTATGGCAGAAGATGGTATCATCTCATAGGTGCCTTGCGGAGAACCATGGAAAGTCTTTATTGGGGGTGGATCATTGCCTTGGCAGGCTCCTGTTGACAGGCTAGCGTTGTTACATTTCCTTTCTAAAAGTTGGAAAGAAAAGTAGATGGTTGCAGAAAATTAGACTTGGATGCAAAAATGAAAACATACTTAAGGAGCCATGCACACCTCAAAACTGCACAAAGAAACCCTAAATCAGCAGTAATCTACCACTACTGTCATTCCTTTTGTGCAGATGGAGCTACATGACAGGATTTCAGCCAACTTAAAGCAAAATTAGAACATTACACTTGAAATACAAAGTCCCACCTGATTCAGGAAGATGTATTTAAGATTGTAACCTTTAGTTAGCAAGCATCTTTCCCATTTTGTGCTGATTAAAAGGAGTTTGTTCTCAACAGCATTCTTAATTTTATTTCTTTAATTGGCACCGTTTATTCCAGATAACAACACTGAACTTGTCTCTTGAAAGCAACGTATAAAATGTGGACCCCAGCAACCAGAACTCTGTAGACGTTGAATAGTTCCACAGAAAAATGGAGTCAGTATAAGGACATTAGTAAAACTATATTTTTAATCCTTCATTTCTTGAACTAGTTTCCTTATGGCAGCTGTAGCATTAGTTGCTCATTCATGATAATTTAGTTTTTATTTCTGTGTATGTGCACTTGCACTTAATTCAGAAATGAAATAAGTTTAACCCAAAGTATAGGTTTTGAAATAGATAGGAGAAAGATCCGCATTACAAGACTTGTAAGAGCAGTAGAACTATAAAATGCAGGTTAAACTGTGCAAAAAGGTGGGCCATCACTGTGAATGTCATAATCCACCTTACAAATTTCCACCCATTAGGTACCTCAGAGAAGTCTTACCAATCAGTTTTGGGTGGATTGATATTGCAGATTTTGTTTCAAAGCCAAACAGATTGTCACAGATCAGACCCTTCCTTCCTTTTCATTAACTTTTGAACTACCCTCTATCGAATCAAAGTTAGGCAAGGTATAAATATTTTAAATAAGTAAGTAAATAAGTAAATAAGCAAACAAGCAAGCAAACAAGTAAATAGGTAAAGAGAAAGAAAGACGTGTAATTTGCCCAAGTCCACACAAGCAAGCAAGCAAGCAAGCAAGCAAGCAAACAAACAAACAAACAAGTAAGTAAAGAGAAAGAAAGAAGTGTAATTTGCCCAAATCCACAAAGACTGGCTCATCTCCTTCAGAACACAGAGGAGAGTCAAACTCCCAACCATTGGCTCTGAGCATCCAAGCATCAGAGGGCACACTTTTGTCACCTTTTTTGCCCCCTTGCTCTATTCTAAAAAGGTAAAGGTTCCCCTTGACATTTTTAGTCCAGTCGTGTCCGACTTTAGGGGGCGGCGCTCATCCCGCTTTTCAAGACATAGAGCCAGCGTTTGTCCGAAGACAATCTTCCGTGGTCACATGGCCAGCGCAACTAGGGAACGCCGTTTTACCTTCCCACCAAGATGGTACCCATTTATCTACTCGCATTTACATGCTTTCGACCTGCTAGGTTGGCGAGGAGCTGGGACAAAGCGACGGGAGCTCACTCCGTCGCGTGGCTTCGATCTTACGACTGCTTGGTCTTCTGACCCTGCAGCACAGGCTTCTGCGGTTTAGCCCGCAGGGTGTCCGTTAAAAAACAAAAGTGGCTTAAGAAAGCTTGAAGGATGTTTTAAAATGGGGAGAGGTATTGAGGCCTTTGGCACCCTTCCCAAGGTCCAGAGGAGAATATTTTACAAGTTGCTCACCTGAGAGCAGTATGTAAAAAAGCAAAGTACTGCTTCACACACACACACCCAAAAATACCTAGATTAAGGTGCTGTCAAGTCAGTTCAGATGTATGGCTACTCTTTTCAAGATTTTGTAGGTAGGGAGTAGTCAGAAGTGACTTCTGGGAGCATTCTGTGATTGCAGCTTGCCCAAGGCTACACAAGCTGGCAGTTCTCCCATTGGTGAATTTAACTCCCAACCTTCGGCTGCTCAGCCAGGTGCCTATGTACTTCACTGAGGTATCTAACCAGCTAAACCAAGTGTTGTACTTGCTTCAACTTGTTTCATATTTCTCCCATTTTCATGACATTTTAGGATTTCAGTAATTCCTTACTATTCTTTGTGTGATATTTAGTATCACTAAATTTTATGTTAAGAATATCTCTTGCTATGTGTTCCTAATGAAAATGAAGGCTTTCCCCCCACCTCCATAAAGATACTGTTGTTTGTAAGGAAACCTCCCTTACTTGAGATATTATTTAACAGTACATGTTGTCTCTCTGACTTTAAACTTGCTTACTCAGTATTCAGAATAAAAGCAGAAAGATGCATAGACACAACACAGAAGTCTTACCTTTCAGGCATAAACAAGAAGAGAAAAAGAACAGTCCAATGTTCAGCAAGTACAGACTTTTCATCGTGGCAGCTGATCAGTTCTTAAATTTTAAATCATCTGTTTTTGTTGCTTTTTCGCTGCTTAATCCACAGTGTAGCAAAGACATGCTTGAGACACCGAGTGAAACAAGCTATTTTGTTCTTCCTTTCATATGGAGAAGTGCGTGAGACATCAGAATGCGGAAGAAGCTCTTGATTGCTTAAGTCTCCAGCCAACACAGTGACTTCTTCTGTGCAAGAATAAATTAACTCTTGATTGGCCATGAGCAGAGAAAGGAATATTATATTACATTTCTGAGACTAGCAGAATACATAGTTATTTAGGAAATATGGTAGAGATATTTATGTAATGGTAGCGAGATTTAAGTACCACTGTGCTTAAAATTCCTTATGGTGATCTTTCCCCCCTTTTTTTCCTGTGTCATCAAGTCACATATAACTTAGGTTGACCCTAATAGAATTGTCAAAGTTTATGAGATATTCAAACAGTGGTTTTATTAGTGAGTTTCCTTGGCTGAGCAGGGACTTTATCCCAAATCTCCTGAATCCTAGTCCATCACACTGCCCACTACTATACTACACTGGCTCATGGTGATCTGTGTAGGCATCCTTCTGTCTCGAGAGACTATGGCAACATGCTCTGTATGGAGGACTTGGAACAGCGTCTAGTGTGGCTGAGAAGGCCAATTCGAGAGTGACAATCCCTTCCACACTGAAGACAAATACAGCTTCCACACTGAAGACAAATACATGAAGCTTTAAGGAAAGCTTCATGGCCGCGCATTCAGGTGCTGCAGCTCAGTGCTCTTCGACTTGGCGTTCTTTATGGATGTTTTTGTGTGTATTATCTTGTGTTGTGAATACCTCCGGCGGAGTGAATATTTTAACTTCTTTTTGTAGTGGTGTTGTCCAGTTTTACCTTGGGGAAGAGCACCTCATTTCGTTGCACCCACTTGTGAGTGCAATGACAAATAAATTTCTTATGTCTTATGTTTTATGTCTTATATGTCCCCTGTCCAACTCCCTGATTTTGCTGCTTGCGGGACTGTCTCTTCGCCTCAGCCTGCTGGACAAGGGTCTCTTCAAATTGGGAGAGGCCATGATGCACCGCCTGCCTCCATTGTGATCTACAATTAGTTTAAAAGGAAGCTCTCACTATCATTGTATAATCTTAATTTGTTAAAATCAAAGTTACAGCTAAGACTTCGTACAGATTTTTATCTGTGAGAAGTCACATCATTATTAGAAGTCCTATAACACATTTTAATAACTAGCATATTGAGATGTTATCTGTTTTAAGGAAAATGAGAACTTCCTCCATCGTATATACTGTATCTGATATAAGGTCTGTGAGAAGTCACATCATTATTAGAAGTCCTATAACACATTTTAATAACTAGCATATTGAGATGTTATCTGTTTTAAAGAAAATGAGAACTTCCTCCATCGTATATATCTGATATAAGAGAGGGAAGGGTTTGTTTTCCCTTTGGCTGACTCTTTATGAGTGCAGGCTTTGTTTGAAAATAAAGCTTTTCAAACAAAGCCTGGACAGCATTATGTTGGGATTCTTCTAGCTCTGGATTTTGTGCATTAAATAAGATTTAAAGTAGATGGCCTATTGAGGCCCCCTCCAGCTCTATGATTCTGCTGTGCTGTTAACAGCTTTGCATGACTACTCAGAAAGAAGTTTGTAAACTTCAGTGGGACTTACTCATAGTTAGAGCTTAGAAAGTAACTTTTTAAGAGAATGAAAATAGTGATGTGCTTAGGTCTCATGGCAACAACTCACCACTGCTAATTTCATGATGCTTCAGTGTGTCATATTTATTCTTTCTAAAAGTAACTCTCCAGTCTCAGCTCATTAGTAAAAGTGCACAACATTACTGACTTAATTCCCTTTCAACACACTGTGCTGCCATCTCATCTTTAGTGACCTCCTCAACCTGCTGTTAAGTGAGGGTGTGGTTATATTTCAAAATAAAATTGGGTTTGCATTGGGTTTGCTCTCTCTGAACTCTGTTTACAAATCACTGGTCACATGACATAGAATGAAGCGCACAGTTTTTTGGCTGGCAAATTTTTTTAAAAAAAACATCCCAGGAGGGGTTGTTTAGTTTGAATCAATTCTGGCCACAATTTTTTAAAAAAATCATTTTTGTCTGTGTGATCACCTCAGTGAGAATATATTGTTTTGGCAAGTTTTGTTGCTGGTTTTGGTAACTCATAACTTTTTGAAAAAAAATCTCTTTCAAGTTAAGCAGTGCTCGGTTAAGTGTTGAAAACAGCACAGGATACTTTGCTTGTGGTTTATCTTGTAAACAAATGAATCTGCATATTTCAGGCAACAGAGCCGTGGAATGCCAACTGAGGTCCTCACATGCAACTTGTACCTTGCCAGTCCATTCAGCTGGAACATCCATGTAGTGCTGTCCCATTTCAAATATATTTGAAATATTGCATAAAAAATAATTCCCCCTCACCATAATAATTTGAAATCCTGTGTAGTCCCCTGCGCCAATACAGTCCATGGCTTTAAATCAGATTACAAGTTGTTCCATTAGGACACACATACCAACACAAAGATGGCATGACTACCACATGACTTAAAACTATCTTCAGATACCCCAGTCCAACTCTCTATTCATTTTAGTAGTGTAACTATGCCTTGAAAAAAAATTTTTAATTGTCTACATTCTAATTAGAATTTCCTTATCAGTCATAAGTTTTATATTTCCATCCCCTCATCTGTATTCTTATTTTCTGATCTAACTTCTGCAAATTGATGTTACCCGAGTTTGTTTAGATTACTGGTTTCTCTGATCCATAAATATTACAGACTGCCTCTTACACTAAAACTAGCTTTGGTGTATGTAAATAAAGAAAAATGATCTTTTTTTAAAAAAAAAGTTTCCCTGTTTATAATTACAATATAATTCTAATTGTATTTTAACCTTAAACTCTCTGTGTTAAAGTTCCTACCAGTTTGTGCAGATGATGTGTCTTTCTCTGCAAACACGATTCCTCCTTATAAAACTGCAAGTCAGCTAATGTTCTTTTGTGGTCACTGACTCATCTTCCTGTGTGTGCCTTATCTTGTACATTTGCATGTTCAGTACGTTTCCCCAGGAACAAATTCTAAACCCACATCTCTGCTGTTGGACAAAATTATTAAACATAGAAAATAATCTAGGTTTGGATGGATAAAGTACTAGAATGAAAAAAAATTGAACCTCAGACTCCTGGGTTCAGGGACAAAATACACTGATGTTGTACTTGCTAGTGTGTCACACACAAGCAAAGAGCACAAAATAAGGTGAGCTGAGACTGGGTATACTGGGGAGAAATCCAAAATCCAAGTTATCATTGTCTTACTCTCAGCCAGGCCCATAACGTTCAATCCCTATTGTGTGGACTGTATGAAGATTCAGGAAATTACATTTAGTTTGCAGCATATCTCCCTGTCTTCCTATCCAGGAATCTCATGATGATTCATCACTCCTGTGGCTAGAGGAAATTCAGAAAGGAATTGATGATGCTAATAAAAACCTGGAAGATGCAACGCAATGTAAACATTTATTTGATTCTTACACTGAACTGTTTGTATTAATTTTGCGGTTGGTATTGGAGAATTCCCATTTAAGATAATTCCCCTTTAATTCCAACAAGAGCACCAAAATTCATTTCTAGAATGCCATTCTGTTTTATGTAGATAAATGGTTTTTGTGTCTTGATTGCATTAAATGAATTTTCAAAGACAGAGCATGCTCAGTAGTTGAATGCGGTACCCGGCAGCAAAGGCAAGTGCATAAAGTTGTTTTCCAACCTCCCTTCAGTGATTATGTAAATTTATCCTCAGTGACCTAAATAGTGACTCATTTCCCACATTTTAGGGGGGTTCTATGGCTGGATCATGAAACTGACAGGACTGTAAATTGAGCTTTCAATTTAAGATCCAGCAAACAGGGCTGGAAACGGTATATCATGCTTTCTTTCCTTTTATTGAGCCCAACAGACAGATACTTGGTAGACAGCTACAATAATCCAAGAAAGGAAAGGACCGAATTCCCTAAAACGGTGGTTCCCAACATTGGATAATCCCAGTGTTCTTCAACTGCAATTCACAGAAACCCCAGCCAGCACAGCTGGTGGTGAGGGCTTCTGGGAATTGCAGTCCAAGAGCACCTGGGTTACCCAACGTTGGGAACTAGTGCTCTAAGAAATTTGAGTAAGGGGAATCCAGGAATTAATCCCAAAACAATAGAAGCAAAAACAATCCCAAGAAATTGGGGTGGGGGTGGGAAATCCCCCAATCAAGAAAAAAATGATAAAAAAGGAAAGGATCTAAGATGGAGGCTGGCAGACAGGCAGCACAGTCTTACATGTTTTTAAATGGATATGCCAGTATTAAGTATATCATTTCTAATATAAAGTAACTCACATAGCTTGATTTTGGGTTTTTTTCTCCAAATGGGAGCAATCTTGACAGTGTCAAATTTTTTACAAAAATCTCTGTATTAATCCTCTTCTCCTTAATACTTTAAGACTGCAGTTTGACCTGCAGTTTTCTTTCTGAAAGAGGAGACATTAACTTTGAAAGAAAAGCTTTGCTTCTGTTTACCTGAAAATTTACTCATGCCTCCAAGTCAAATACATGCCTGGCAAGTTACATTCTGGAACATATAATCTATATTTACTTTGATTGTTTCAGCCTTGTAAAATTGACTTAGTTAATGTTCATCCAAAATAAGATGACTTTTGGGAAAAGAAATAAGAGTAGCATGGCGTATGTATTTTGAATATCAAAATGATGACATACTGTTTAATATATACTGTGCAGTTTTTCATTTACAAATAAGTAAATCCATAGTCACATCAAAACACACCCCACCCCCCTGTTTTGTGGGGGGAAAGTGCGTCTTACGGTGCGAAAAATACGGTAAGTAAATCCATAGTTACATCAAAACACACTGCTGTCCAAAATTCAGATACTTGCCGTTTTTAGCCTGTAAGGCTAAACAACACATTACTGTATGTAATTTGGTCAAATTATTTTTTTTTTATTCTTGAGTTAGCATGCATGGCCCAAGCTAGATTAAGATCATAATGCATGAATAGAAAGTGTATACCTTCCCTTCCCCAAGCCAGTTTTAATTCACCCTATGTCACAAACCTGTTCAAACCAGAAACTTCTATAATATGTAAAATTTAGATTTATCAGAGATGATTTTTCCTTTGACTGTGGGGAGAAAACGTGCCTGTCTCCAACCCTTGATAGATTATCTCCCTTCCTACTAACAGGATGTGTCCACACTTCAAGAGACAAAGCAGGATGGGGATAAGAGAGAAGGAATGCAGCTGTATTATGGTTTCTATGTAGTATTCCTTTCTGCTGTGCTGAATAGATCATCATGTGTGGCACACCAAAAAAAAGTAATGCTGTTGTATTTGTAACATATGGCTGGAAAGGCATAACTGCTGATGTTTAATTTGATTCTGTTGTTTTAGTGGCTATTGAGACAACAAGGGTAAACCAGTGTTTAGAAGAAGGGGATTCTGCACAGCTTATCCCTATTTTACAGTCTCCTTGCTTTGCTGTAAGAACTGTCCCAGAGTGTGCTGAAACCTACTACAGTAAATTATTGGAAACCAAGAGTCTAAAACCCAAAGGTAATATCTTTTCCTGCACAGCACAGTAGATATATGTTTCCCAGTTATAAATGTTTTCTGTGTAGCACAGACAGTTTATTTGCTCTTGCTCTGTCACCTTAGTGTTTGCTATGGGTGAATGTTTAAAGACAAGTCATGTGGTTGCTGGTCTTTGGAACAAACAAGTTGATAAGTCTGATGGGCAGAAACTTGAAATATTTCTGGAAGGTCTGCTTGGATTCTTTTGTTCCCAGAGTGTCAGTTTGAAAAACATGGGAGGGAAGGCCATTTATTTGTACTCTGGGGATTCTGATCTGAATTGAGAAGGAAAGCAATCGTCTTTGCACATAAATGAATCATTGCCTCAGGCGGTGGTGTCACTTTAAGATGTTTCTGAAAAGCTGTCTCTGGAAGAGTATTGGCATTCTCGAGATTCCTGCATTCTAGAATCTCAGGACTGTTTTTTTTTTTCCTGCTCATTTTTTAGTGTTACACTGCTGTATGAGTGTGCATTTGTGTCTGTGTATATAAAAAACTATAAAAACAAGAAGTTTCCATAGCCATATTTGGCAGTTGCAGCACAACCCAGTATGCTTTTGTGCAGCGCTCTTCCCTTCAGGTGCTTGATGCATCGGAAGAAATGGTCTGCAGTTCATGAAGATTTTTGCCAAATAAAACTTTATAGATTTTAAGATGCTGCAAGACTCTTGGTTATTTCCAACAAACTTCCTATACCAGAGGAACAGATTCTTCTGCTCAGATGCATGAGAACTAATTGTTGTGACAAAATGATGATTCATCAAACCAAATATCGTCTGTTAGTGACTACTTACTTCCTGTGAACCATCTGGAATGTGTTGCAAAGCGACAATGTAGTGTTCCACTGCCATCCGCTTGCTTCTGGTTTCTACCAGCTCTTTCAAGTCACAGTTTCCAAAGTGTGCATGAAACATGACACTTGGGAAGATGGGAGCTATGAGTGAACGGTGGAAGATAAAAGGTGTGAGGCAACAGCCACATTTTGCTCCCATTTCAAACCAAGGGGATATACAATAGTTCAGCTCTGTGCTTCTTCTATTAAATTACATAGTGTTAGCAGCTCTGTGTCTTTCCTTTTGTTGTATTTAATGTTTGACAATAGTAAATGCTAAGTCACATATAATGATGTATATCAACATTGGAGTGATAGGCCCCTAGTGATCCCATTGAAGCTTAATCCAGATAAGATAGAGGTAAATCTGGGCAGTCCAGGGATTAAGAATTGAACCTGTGTTGTATTGGGTCACACTCCTATTAAAAACTTAGATTTGCTATTTGGGTGTGCACCTCTTCCTTCAACAACGCTAGAGTTCGGGTTACCAAACCCCTGTGTACTTCAAAATCTGTGTATTAACTCTTATGCCTTCTCCCAAAACATAACTACAAAGCATAAACAGTTTATTAGCATGCATATGTACACCCAGACCAGTTCTCTCTATCAAGGTTCCCTTCCGTACCACTAACAATCTTTTCCATACAGTGCCATGTGTAATGAGCCTTAAAGCTCCTTATGAATCCCTTACTAAAGGCTGAATTAGAGATGTTGTGTTTTGGGGCAAGTAGACCACTTCAACACCTTTGCTGATGAACTCATGCCCCTGGTTCTGGTTGGCCAGAGGCATGGTATTTATTCAATCTTTATTTGTTGAATACTTAATTATTTATTGAAATATTTATTTATTGGGAAAAAAATCCATGTATAACGAAAACCATGTTGCTCAGAGGCATGAAATTCAAGGGAGAAGCGTATAGCTGAATATGGTTTGTCGTGTCAACGAGTGCATTTGGATTGTTAGTGTGCCAATTTCACCCCTTCCTGATGATGCAAGGTATCTTGTCATGGTGACACATTTCCTTTTTTACATCTTAGTTGGGTTTCTGTTAAATGCTCCTCGTGCAGCTTGCCTTTGAAAAATGTCCAGAAACTTTAGCTGGCACTGACTGGAATGGGACCTTGTTACAGGAACCTCACTGGGGACTTGCCTTAGCTAAGTGGTGCTTTTCCTAGATGGTAAAATCAGAAGTGATTTCTATTTAAAAAAACAAAAAACTTTATTGCCATTAAAAATGGCATATCCCCCCCCCCCCGATTTTCAAAAGAAAAATCAAACCACATTTTCCATGGGGTGCATTTGGCTGTGGTTCCCAGGGGAGGGACAGCTTCTAATTTGAACCCACAGAAGTTGCTGGCATCTGCTCTAGCACCACAATATCCATTGACAGCTGATACACCTGCCCAAAGAATCTTTTTTTGGATTTGCTTACGTTGTTGTCAAATCTTAGCAATATTTACTCAGTTGTTAACAATATTTACAGATCTAAGAGAAACTATTGTGTGATAAGACCAAAATGTGGTGTGTGTTGAATTGTCCACGACTACGTTTTTTTCCACTTGCAGCCACAAACTGATAGCTATAATAGTATAAAAAGGATATAGGGAGAGAATGGAAGCACAATTATATTATTTCTGCAATTTGGAAGTAATAACAGTATTGCCTTCAAACATGTTTAGATCCCAATGAAGGCCCCTGGATCAAAACTGTAATGCAGGGCTGCTATGACTATTACTTCAATGTGGAAACTGGAATGGATACGTGTGTCCCACCTGAGGGAATTGTACTCAGAACCTCTTGGCTGACTGGTAAAGAGATTCAGGTAAAATGTTGAAACACTGGGGCTGTTCTTTGTGTTGGGAAGATGTTTAAATGTTTCTACCATTTCCAGGGATGCTGGCAAGTCTTCGGGTTCAAGTCCCAAGTCCAAATCATTGGTCCCAAGTCTCTAGTTCAAGTCCCTATTAAAACCAAGACTTTTTCCCCAGAAAAAAGGGAGGGGTGGGTTTCAGGTCATGAGTTGAGTCTAAGTCTTTTTTTTGGGGGGGGGGACTCAAGTTGAGTCCCGAGTCAAATCGCCAGTGCAACTTAAGTCTGACTTGACAGTGAGTCCTGCAACTTGCTTGAGTCCCCACCCCTGACCACTGACAGTGAGTCCTGCAACTTGAGTCCCCACCCCTGACCATTTGTCATCAGAAATGTTGCTCAAGCACAGTGGGTGGGGTGCAAGAAGTGTAGGGCAAAAATACAGCTTGTTTGTTTTAAATAAAATTGAGCAACCTCTCATTTCTGTTGCTATTTTTCATCAGATCTAAGTCTCATGGGCTCTGTTTCTTTATACATAATATTAGTGATACATAGTAAGAATCAGAAGTATTTAACAAAGACATGGCATCTTTCAGATATTTAGCAAAGCACATTTAATTTGTTTTTAAATTATTGCTATGAATCTTTTGCCCGTTGGGAAAAGCAAACTATAAATTCTGCCATGCTTCAAATTACAGAATTGGCCTACGGCCATACCACCCTGAACATGCCCAATCTTGTCTGATCTTGGAAGCTAAGCAGGGTCGGGCCTGGTTAGTACTTGGATGGGAGACCGCATGGGAATTACAGAATTAATATTTTAAATACTTCTATGTAATTTCTTTAGGCCTAAGCAATTATTCCTAACAACAGATAACCAAGGCAGATGGTGTATATTAAATTTCTTTTTGATCAGGAATTGTTAGCACATCCTAGGTTTTTCAGGGTGCTTCCTCAGGTGATTTAGAATGCTGAAAATAAATCATTATTAGTGAACCTCTTGTTTTAATACAGGTTTCACAAAGGAAAATTGTTCACAAACATCCATTAATAACAAACACTACATTATTTATTAACTATTTCTATCCTACCCTTATCTCAAGATCTCAGAGTGGGTAACAGATAGTAAAATCGCATTAGATTATTTAAAATAATTTGACATAAACATGCTTTCAGTTGCTATAAAAATGTTTGCTGGATTACTTATGTTTAAGACATTTCATGGATGTCTGCTTCTGTTTCCTTGAGGGCACAACTAGACAGGGAGGCTGTCCCGGGCAGATTAAGGTCAATTTGAAGTTTTTCTGGTGGCAGTTAAATCACTGTTGCTGTTCACATTGAATGTATAATTATTCCAGGCCGTTTGGGGGCAGGAGTCCACACAGCACCTCGAATTGCTACTGTTCTCACCAGGATCACAGGCTGCCCACTTTCCTCTGTCTTTAATATTGTCCTCTTCCTTGCTTCTTCTTTTTTTAATGGCCAGTGACGTAGCACTGTGTTGATATAGCAACTTATGAAATCACAGTGCTTATCTGACAAAGCATTAAATTCTTTCCATAATTACTCTGAGAGACAAGAGGTGCCCATTTGGGAGGGATATTCTCGCTGTACTGGTATATCCTTCAGCATGATGCAGCGTGCCAGTACAGTAGGAACATCTCCTCAAAGTGACTGCTCCTTGTCTTCTCTTCAAAATGATTTTTTAAATTAATGCTTTAGTGCTATATCAGGTAAGTACTGCAGTCTCATTGGTTGATGTGTCAATTCAGTACTATGACACTTGCAAACAATTTTTTAAAAATATGTCTCACCTTCAGTGTCACCCTAGGATACACTTGCCACTGCCTATTTGGACTGATAGAGGCAATCACACATACAATACCACAAACAAACAAAAGTAACATGAGCAGAATAACTGAACAAAAAGCAAGAAATGAATGTGCTCACAATTAGCTGTACATCATGTAGTCAAAGGAAAATACATCCAGTTTAATTGTGGCAACTCTGGCACAAACTGCAGGGTAAATTACATTGCAGTTGCACCCTACATTAACCTCCCAAGGCTGAACTAGATTCAGTGCTTAACATATATAAGATCTCTATATATGTTAAGCATGAAGATTTTTACTCTTTGTTTTCACTCTGTTTAATATAACACCCCCCAACACACCAAAACATAGGTTAAAATAAAATAAAAACTTCCATTGCCTTCAGTGCCAATTGAATTTTTTGTTTCTTTCATCTGGGGTGGGGTTTAAAGAGGAAGTTTAAAAAATGAGAAAGATTGAGGTTACAGATTAAGTTTCTCCCACTCACAGGCACTGAATCTTAAATTAGCACTTACTCTGTTCTTTAACATTTACAATTGCAGGTTTAGAAACAGTTGATTTCTTGTGGCAAGTAAAAATTACCTCCAAGAAAGGAAGGTGTTGTCTATTGGGGAAAATCTGGTGCTTCTTGGCCATTAAAATGCTACAAATGTGTGGCATAAGTTCATACGAGCAGGTAGACATGTTCTCTTATTTCGAGAGCCAATAACCTTTGTGGACATTACAAAACACTATGGTATATTTTCTTATGCTGTTATATGACTAACTTCTTTTGAAGTAGGCAGAGATTTCAATTTTGGACTGTAAATTTTGCTTCCCCCGTCCCTGGCAGCTGCAGGAAGGAAGAAAAAAAGTAAGGCACTTTACAGATGGGAACCATGGAATTGTAGCATGTGCTCCTAAATCAGCAACTTTGAAATAAAATCCTCATACAGTATTGTAAACATACTCGAGGAGTCCACAAATAGATTCCACACTTGTGGAATCATTTAATCTATGATGGAGCGACATGAATTTAAGAACAAATACAGAAAATACTGTAACTGGGATGGGTGACAACATTAGAGCAAATTCTAGACTTTTGGGGAAGTTGGGGCTGGTGCTAAAATGTATGGGCTTTGGTTGACTGTTTGTGATACCTATGACCACTTTCATTATCTCCCCCCCCCCTTTAGAATATCGTTGAACAGATTACATCAGATTATAAAAGAGAACAGCTGTGGTTTGCAAATGAAGACCTGATCATTCAGCTGCAAGCTAAAGCAAGGGGATTTCTATTCAGAAAAAAATACAAGGAGAGAAAAGCATATCTTCAAAGCCAGGAACCATCAGTGATAAAAATACAGGTATCACCATGTGGTGGAGGGGCTCCTTTTGATGAACAGCAGCTCCATAATTAATTTAGACATACATTGTTCTAAAACATTAGAATGTGCCTTGCCTTTTTTTTAGTTTGTTCTTATAAATACAAAACCAGTGGAAAGCAATGATTGTGCAATGGTCAAAGCTTCTGTTAATGTATATAATAAGACTCTACCTAGAAAACCCTGGAAAAAGTTGCCCTAAGTCAGAGTTGACTTGACAACACATAATTATTAACACAGACATACCTACTGCAGGTTCTGGGAAAGTGGTTTATGAACCCATTTCTATTGTGCCTGGTTAGCTGCTGGTTTTAGTGAATTCCTCCAGTCATTTTGGTGGCCTTTCCAGTCATCCTGGCAGCCTTGTTTTTGAAGCATTTTCAGTATTAGTCCTGTTTTGAAAGACAATATTGAAAACCACAGACAACCTAAAATCACGCATGTCAAAGCTCACATAAACAAATTAGTTTTGATGACTGCACAAGGTCTATCCTGTAGAACATCAGCAAAATGCTGCGTGACTTGCATTTCTAAGACTTTATTCCAGGGCTTTAGGATTACGGTGGAAAGTTTCTGTTTACAGAATAGAAAGTCCTGAAAGAAGTCAAAATTGTTAGTTGGAAACAAGTCTAGTACGCACAGGTACATGTGTTACCTAAATATTTAATTAAATAATTATTAAAATACTTTTACCCAACTTTGTTCTGTTAAATGGAACAAATGCTTTAAGTGGGCTGAGTATGGATTTTAGAATTGGTCATACTACTAATACGTTTGTTTGTTTGCTTGCTTGCTTTTAAAAAAACAGGCCTCCTGGAAAGGACACAAACAAAGGAAAATCTACTCTGAGAGACTTCAGATGTTCCAGAAAAATGTTGCGTCTATTATTAAAGTAAGTGCTACATATATGTAGAGAGTTATTTTGCACACTTGACAATGATATATCTTATCTGCCACCATCTGCTGTTTCAAGGCTCCATTTGAGATATGTTGTGGAGAACTGGAGCACTAGAGGTGGCTTATGTCGAATATGGAACACAGGGTAAGGAATATGATCATGATTAAATTGAGAAATCAAAGAGTACATGAACATTGCTAGGGACTGTATTCATTTTTGCTGCATAATTTGTACTTGTCCTGTTTCCAGAAAAGGCTTCCTGTATTTGTGACATTGTTTCATAACTCGTATTCTGGATGTTCTTACCTACATAACATTATGTCTTGGCTGTTCTGTTAACTTACTGGAGTGTTTGCTCATTCCACTAGATTCGAATGATATACTAGTAATATTTGTAGTATCCAGTATTTTAAATGCATCTGCAACTGTGTGTGAATTTAGGGTCAGAGAATCATAGAATAATGGAGTTAGAAGGGGCCTATAAAGCCAACTAGTCCAACCCCTTGCTCGGTGCAGAAATCCAAATCAAGATATATCTGGCTTTCTAACTTTCTCTTGAATACCTCCAGTGTTGAAGCACTCCCCACCTCCTGAGGTAATTGGTTCCATTGCTGTACTGCTCTAACTGTTAGGAAGTTTTTCCTGATATTTAGCAGAAATCTGACTTTCTGTAACTTGAGACCATTATTACATGTCTTGCAGTCTGGAGTGACTGAGAACAGAATCTGGCTCTTCTCCGTATGATAGATTTTAAAGCATTTAAGAGTGCTATGATATCAGTCATCTTTGTTTCAACGCTAAACTGCCCAAAATTTCCAGTCTTTTCTCAAAGGACTTGGTTTCTAGTCCTGTGATCATCTTTGTTGTCCTTCCTTAAGTTTGTTCAAAAATGGACTCAAAATGAAGCCTAACAGGTGCTAGATAGACAGGAACTTGTACTTCGTGTCATTTGGAGACTATATATATATTAATCTAGCCTGAAATAGCATTTTACTTTTTTGCAACCACATAGCATTGTTGGCTTATATTCAGCTTGTGTTCTGCAAAACTTCTTGGATGCCTCTCAAATGTACTATTGCTGGGTCAAGTATCCAAAATCTTACTCTCCTGTTGCAAATGTGGAAGGTGTTATGAGGCTTCCACTACTTTTCCAGTGTCCTAACCTTTGACATGGCAAGGGTTAGCTCAAGCAGACAAGGGCATGCTTTATTGTGTCTGCAGTCCGTATCCTTGAGAACTAAATAACAGCAGTTATCTTCATGCTTCATGTTGTAGAGATTATTGGGAGTGGGTATAATTGTGCAATGTATAATCAAGAAGAATCCTGAAAATCTCACTTGAGTATTTGTGAGAGATGTATTGCAGACTGATTACAGACTGATAAATTGAAGCAGGATAATTTGCTCCTCTGGTGTGGAAGACATTTCATTCAGCAGTGTAAATGTTGCTAACTTGAGATCTACGTGCTACAATGTATAAAAATTGTATAAAAAGCTCTAATGCTTCAGTGTGTGGTTTGTGAACATGGCAAACTAAACTGAATAATTATGGAATTTTTAAAAACAAAGGTGTTCATAGTGTAAATATCCCATCTTTCTTTTTCATCTTTCAGATTCAGGCATGGATCAAAATGTGGTTAGCAAGAAGAGCGTACAAGAAACGGATGCAGTATTTCAAAGATCATGTAAGCTTCCCTCCCCTCCTGTTCCCTGCTAAATAGATGTTCTGGCTCCTGCTGCCCCCAGTCTGAGTAGAAGAGGAAACAAGTATGGATACTTAATCAGATGGAGATATGGTCCCTGTTCTGGACTACTTGTGGTGTGGTCTGGTTTGAACTATTTTCTGGTGATCAGTGTACAGGAAATTGTGAGCCAGCTTGACCCTCTCCATGCTGAATCGGGACCTTTTTAGTCCAGTGGCTGGTCTACTATTTTTTGAAGTGGACTGGAATGATTCCTGTGTGCATGGAATGGTCACTTTAAGAGAGATTGCTCTTAGGAAAGCATCCCTTTCTAATGTGATCAAATGCAGTCCTATATCACTGTCTGATTGCACTCTCGCCTTATGGGGTGAGGAAGGAGATTGAGTAAAAAGATGAAAAAACATGCTTAATTTATGTTTTGTAGAGATAGATCATAGTTACAACCATATGGTTCCTGTGTGATGATGTCTAAAAGTGCATTGTCTGTATTTCTTTCAGAATGAAGAAATTGTGAAAATCCAAGCCTTTCTTAAAGCAAACAAAGCTAGGGAAGACTACAGAATACTGAGTAAGTGCTGAAGATAGTGTTTTCTCAACATGAAGGAACTGCGTATCTAAAAACTACTGTTACTGGTGTTGCAACTGTTTTAATGAATTTTGTTTAAACATTAAACATGAAAATATCTAAAGTGCCTCTGACAAATTTAATTGTTCGTTCCAGCTAGAGTAGACTGGGTGAATCAGTGCGGCTTACATAAGTGTTGACTTAATAAAATTTGAATTTGACCAAATTCTGGGAGGCAGTGGAAGACAGGAGGGCCTGGCGTGCTCTGGTCCATGGGGTCACGAAAAGTCGGACACAACTTAACGATTAAACAACAACAACAATAAAATCCTGTTTATTCTTTATGTCTCCTCTATTTGGGCCTAGTATTTGGAGTTAAAGTGTTCGGTTTAATTTCTAATTTGTTAACTTGACTCATAGCTGGTTCTGAAAACCCTCCTCTGAATGTCCTACGCAAGTTTGCTTATCTAATGGACCAGAGTGATTTGGACTTTCAAGAAGAGCTAGAAGTAACAAGATTAAGAGAAGAGGTGGTTACAAATATCCGGTCTAGTCAACAGCTGGAGAAAGATCTGAACCTGATGGATATCAAGATAGGACTGCTGGTTAAAAACAGAATAACTCTGCAGGTTAGTTAACTTAGCTGCCCTTGTTATTTTAAGAACTGATATCTAATTGAGTCTCCCCCAGATGATAATTACTTCAATGCTTGATACAATTTCTTCCTATGCACTTTTTCCCACCCTGGTCAAGTTGTGTCTCTTCTCTTATCTGGAACTGATAAACTGTTGTGTGTCTGTGGGTGCAATCTCTCTAGCCAGGTTCCATGTATTGACTCCTATGCCTTTTGCCATTGCTGAGCTACTCAGAAATACTAAATGAGCTTTTCTTAGTACTACAAACTCCAACTGACTTTTAAAATATCTAAGTATTATGTGACTGCAGCAAAGGGCCACAGCTCAATGTTCTTTTTAAGATTGCTTGTGAAACAGCATCTCTGCTTTGGATCAATACTTCTGCTTTTCTTTGTAGGATGTTGTGTCCCACAGCAAAAAGTTGAACAAAAAAAGCAAAAATGAAGTGGAGGAGATGGTGACTGGGGACAAGCAGGGCATCAAAGGCCTGAGCAAAGAGAGGCGGAAAAAGCTAGAGGCTTATCAACATTTGTTTTACCTTCTGCAGGTAATCTATTTGTTGGCTTCTTGTTCAGTCTTATAATGCATGTGTTGGAAGATGCCAGAATCCTTTGTTATACTTTACTTTCTGAGGCCAAATACAAATCAAACCAATGCAACATGTGTTCTCAATTCCTGTTCACTTGCTGCGGTGTAAATTATGCAGAAGTTATTGCCTACAGACTTTTCAGTGAGAAGAACTAGTAAGTCTGCAAACCACACTTCTAAATGAGTGAATTTTATACCTTTATACTGCTTTGTTTCAGTGAGCAGCTTCTTAGTGAAAGAGAAAATAACATGAATGAAGGAATTCCCACCCGCCCTCATTTCCCATACAAGCCACACTCAGGGCTCATAGAAACTTTCTGGAATGCGGTAGAATCAGACAGAGGGTGTTGCTGTTGAGGAAGGAAATGATAAAAGTTATATATGTATACTTTATGCAAAGCAACACACCCACACACCAACATGCCAATAACAACAACTTAGTCCTGAGAGTTACCTGACCCTCAAGAGCTGTTCCGTAATATGAATGGTGGCCTCTTCCCACAAGTTTAGAATCTAGTCCAAAACCTTGGGGATTAGCAGGTTATTTTTGTGTTGTGTGAGTTTTTTTCTTAGCAGATTTCACACAAAGAGCAAATCAATCTCGTTTCCCAGTTCCACATCTGTTTTCCACAATCATTTTAATCCTAAGAGTGTCAAGTGTCAAGGAGGATGGCGAATCTGAAGCATTAGGGGAAAGAGTCGTCTTGAGCCAGTAGAAAGAGTGTTTCATCTTGAAGGGGCAAGGGAGGCAGGCATACATTCTGGCATGTACACACATCTTAGAGGTGAAGGAAAATACACTGTAATGGTGTTTAAACAGAGGAAATTAGAGAATAGAAGTTACATGTTTGTGTATGCAGCTGACAAAAAGGTTTTGGTGTTCATTCTGTGGAAAGCTGAGATTGAGTTGAGACCATGTAATACGTTTTAAAGCCAACGTTGGGGCCGTTCCTGTTTGAAAAAGATGGGGCTGCAAAATTAATAAAGTGGCCCCTGGATACTTGCTGATTCAGAAGCTGGAGATTCCAACCATTGGAGTTTGAAGCATTTCAAATAGCCAGAGAGTCTGCTTATGTGGACTGCGTAAAGTGCTGTAATTATTTCCACAGTAGATTGGGTATTTTGAAAGAAAGGCTTAGCATCGATGTACATACACTGCAACTGAGCTAATACACAAGATTATTATCATTTGTCTGGCAAAATTTTTGCTTCAGGGATATGTAGGCATGTGTAACTATTATATATAAAAGAGAATGAGAGGATAGCTGCATTTAGGGAATGGAGCTAGTCTGGAAAGATCAATCCGAGGGTTTTTGCATTAGGCGAAACACAGTATACAATATCAATAATAATCCTAGAACTGCAGAGCTGGAAGGGACTGTATGGATTATTGGGTCCAGCCCATCAGAAAGGCACAGTGGGGAATCAAACTTTCAACCTCTGGCTCTGCAGCCAGATGTCTGTGTTGATAACTAGATTTGGCATCTGATTTCTGTTGAGCTGATTGTCTTCCATAAAAGAATTCTCAATTGTTAGCAAACTTGATTTAGTGTTGATATGAATTAAAGTGCATTCTGAACATTTCTGGTTTCTCAGTGCTAATAAAATAGGCAGTGGGGGACATTACCATTCTCCTTAATGTATTATTACAATCATTCTGCCATTTCTTCCATAGACTAATCCATCTTACTTGGCAAAGCTGATCTTCCAGATGCCCCAGAACAAATCCACCAAGTTCATGGATACAGTCATCTTCACATTGTACAACTATGCATCTAATCAGCGTGAAGAATACTTGCTCCTAAAGCTATTTAAAACTGCTCTAGAAGAGGAAACTTAGTGCGTATATTGCATTCAAAGACAGACAGTCTCTCTATCTTGCCTGCTCAAGCAAAAGTGTGAATGGTTCCATTTTGTTCTAGCTTGTCTTGCGGATGTGTATGTGTGTGTGTGACCAAAGGTTGGGTGGTGATTATTGCAGGCAGACCTGAACAGTTGATTGAAAGTTGCCACATATGCAGCCTATTAACTAAAACAACCTTATGGGGATAAAACTGTAAAACCTGGTGCATGTTTTTTTGTTTCTGGTTGAAAAATGCTTCTTCATTTTGGACTAGAAAGGTGTTGCTGCAGGAATCTGTACTTTTTTTTTCTTAAGAGAGCAGTGATCCGTTATGGACAGAATGCAACATGTCTGTTCGAAAGACACAGGGTGATGTTTGATGTCTTCAGCTGAAATGCAAGAATAAGTTTTGATTTTTTTTAAATTTCAGTTCCAAAGTAGACCAGATTCAAGACATTGTCATAGGAAATCCTACTGTCATCAAGATGGTGGTTAGCTTTAACCGAGGGGCTCGAGGGCAGAATACACTACGTCAGTTGTTAGCACCAGTGGTGAAAGAGATTATGGATGACAAATCCTTAGCCATCAACACAAGTCCTGTGGAAGTGTACAAAGCATGGGTGAACCAGTTAGAGATGCAAACTGGAGAGGCCAGGTGAGTGAGCAAAGCAGGTTGATTAAAACTGAATTTTCTTACTTTCTGTAGGTTACTTGACAGGTGCAGAAGCATTTTTTTAATGTACTATTCTTTTGCCTTCTATATATTACATTTTGTCACTTTCACTCTATTTTTATGTAGCAAATTACCTTATGATGTAACAACAGAACAAGCACTGACGCATCCCGAAGTAGTGAGTCGACTGGAATCCTCAATTCAGAGCCTAAGAGCAGTAACTGATAAAGTTCTAGCTTCCATATTCTCATCTCTTAATTTAATGCCGTAAGTATGGGGTCCTAGCAGAATGTATGTGGAACTCTTTATTAAGAAAGCAAGATTTTTTTAAAAAACTTTCATTTTTTCTAAGCCAACTAGTTTAACTATATTTTGATTCATAATTATTCTTCACCAGCAGAGGGAGTATTCCTTATACATCACTACATTCAGACACTTTAATAACTAATAAGTATCCATAATGTATTTTTCTTTTGCATGCATATGTTTCTGGTGCCTTTTTGTTTAGTTTAGTTCTCAACTTTCTAAAACAAAATGCAATATTTTGTTCCCTTGTTTATTGCCTTGAATTAGTTGTTTTTCATCCTAAGTATCTCTCCATTATTTTCCTTTTTCATCTGTTTTTGCACATAGTTATGGAATGAGATATATAGCCAAAGTTCTGAAGAACTCGCTCCATGAGAAATTTCCAGATGCAACAGAAGATGAGCTATTAAAGGTAGATTTCCTAAGGGTGATTTATCAGCATCATTGCTATGGGGATAGGATGAGTTAGAGGATCAATGAGAACGTGCCTATGTTTTAAAACCCTCATCCATACACTTGGAAACTTGGCAGGTTGTAAATAATCTTTTCTTGAAAGATAAATGTTTTTCCTTGAAATAAGTTGTAGCTCCTTCTCTATGGTTGTGGCTGATGATATCATCAGAATTACACAACATAACTTTATGGTGTTGGAGTTTAGCCGTTAACTGTTAAGTTTAAGACACGTTTAAATGCAAATACTTGATGCATCAAAGAACTGTTTGCATCTCTAATCATTTTGCTTAATACTTGGTTCTTCCATATGATATATTTTGAAACTGTTCATGAAAAATGTGGTATTTTTTACCTCAACAAAATTATTGATGTCTTTGAGTGATGCAGGATTATACATGCATGCACAGGTGCGTGTGCGCAGGCACACACATGTGTGTGTGTGTGTGTGTGTGTGTGTGTGTGTGTGTGTGTGTGTGTGTGTGTGTGTGCACGCGCGCGCACACCCACCCACCAAAATATACAGTTACATTAACACAATAGAAAGAAGAAGAAAAAAAAATTAAAAGGAGAAAAACTTATATAACCTTGTACTCCCCTCACCACTTGGGACTGTTCCTCTATTCACTTGTCAGCTTATATTATTTTTTACTTGCTTGTTTTTACCTCTTCTGTTATTGCCCCATTTCTCTCCAGGAGTACATTGAGTCTTCACTGGCGGTGAAACCTTTCCCTTTCTCAAATATATGTAACAATCATGGTTTCCATATGTCTTTAAAATCATTCGTGCTTGGTACCCCTTTTCTTATTATAAATTCACAAGTTAGTTTCCCATTGATAGCCATATTCCATATTTCTTTATACCAACCTTCCATGTTAAATTGACTATTGTACTTCCAATTCTTTGCAATAATTAACCTTACCACTGTCACCAGAATAACAATTAGTTCATTTTCTTCCTAAATTAATTAGTCATTTCTATCTGTATTCAGCAGGATGCAGGATACCTTTAACTTATTTTTGTAACTGATCATAGCTACTTTGTTTAAAACGGATTTTTTTAAAATATTGCCCAGAACCCAGTAGTAAATTGCAACCATATCTGCATTGAACCAGTGAGGATTTGGTGAGTCATTCCCTCTGTAGGTTCCACTGATTCACTAGGTCTATTCTACTTGTGACTTACTAGTGGATTTCAGTCAAAAGCTTGCTGCAACTTAAAATGTTTCCTTCATGGTATCACTGTGTTGATTTTTTAATCTAGCTGCAAGTATATTTATTTTAAATGTATTTTCTAAAGCTCCAAGTCAATCGTAGATTTGTGGCACTTTGCATTTGTTTTGAGTTACTTTTTTTAAAAAAAATTCTCTTTTTTGCTCCTGGGTATGGTTGTTGTTGTTGGGAAGTAGATCTATAGTTCAAAGAAATATCCTCTCTAATTTAACCTGGCAAGGCTTAGTATATCATTGTGATCACTCACCCCGCACCTTGCCTTATATAACCAGGAATGATTTTCTATGCAAAGTGTTACCATTTGGGTATGACCAAATTTCCAATTGCCTTCAAGTGTCATTAACAATAACAACAACAATAATGTTCCGTAAAGTCAGTTTGGTCTTATGGTTAACCTTTTTTGAGTTTTTTAGGTAGAAAATACTCAGAAGTGGTTTACTGCTCCCTTCGTCTGGTGGTGTCTTGGGACTTTTCAGCTTCCCCAAAGACACTGAGGCTGGCTCTTCTAGGATGCAGAGTGGGGAATTGAATTCCCAACCTCTGGTTCTGCAGCCAGATACCTGGTCCACTGAACTATCCAGCCAACATCAAATGGCATAATTACTGTGTATGAGCATGTCTACACATCCATACTGCTCAATATGGCTCCCTCTGCCTGTTGAGGTGGCAGGACCAGTCAGGAACTTTCTGTTCATGGTTTGTTTATTGTGACATTTGAACTAGGATGACTGGATTCTATCTGTCTTGAGAAGCTAGAGTTTGTTACTGGCCCATAGTCTCTCAAGAGAGAAACAAGTTGGAGATGCTGGTTTGGACATGACACTAAGCCGTTAACAGGTGGAGAATGTCTAACACCTGCTTACTGAAGAAGGCAAGCAGGAGCAATGGAGCAGGCCTACTGGAGATTTTCATAGTTTTGACTTACCATGTGTTTCCAAGATGGCTTGCAAACAAAAGTATCAGGGAAAACACCAGTCTAAAAATAATTTTCTCCCTTAGATTGTTGGAAATCTCCTCTACTATCGGTTTATGAATCCTGCCATTGTTGCGCCTGATGGATTTGATATAATTGACATGACAGCTGGAGGCCAGATCCATCTTGATCAGAGGAGAAATTTAGGTTGTGTGGCCAAAGTCCTTCAACATGCTGCCTCAAATAATCTCTTTGAGGGGGAAAATGCACATCTCTCTTCAATGAACAGTTACCTCTCTCAGACATATGAGAAATTCAGGTTTGTACTGAAGCAGATGAGGCTATATGCAATAAATTGTGAATAAATCTTCTAAATATGGAATGCTAATTTCTTTAAATTATAGTTTATGTTTAAGTGGTAATTTGCTTTTCTGTTGAATATTTTTATGTATCCGTATCATTTTTCTTTACTAATTCAACTAGTGAGACATCCTCACTCACACTGTTACTTCAGATTTCCCATCCAGTATGTGCATGTTGGCAATTGCCATTCTGTTACAAAGTCTATGTCTCTTCAGAGATAAGTCTCTGTATTATTATGTTAAGGGAAGTGATAGCAGGAAGAATGGTATATTTATCTCTACTCTTTTTTCAGACAATAGTAGGAAGTGGTGCTCAGTTATCATGCTGAAATGTCTTGGGAAAGCTGTGCACTTTGACCCAAGTAAATATACTGTCTAGGTGGTGTCATTGCTATATTAAAGTTCACTTGAGTTGCATTAAACTGTAACTTTAAAATCAGTTCTCTGAAATAACTTTATTATAATTCTATTTATGTAGTTCTCTAGGATAATAGATCATTTGGCAATCACTCTATTTTTGTATTATGTCAGAATATCTGACAAATCAAGCAATCTCTCCCCCACCACTTAATATTTCAAGCAAGATTGTCAGATATTCTGACATAATACAAAAATAGAGTGATTGCTCTCTATATAGAGAGCCCATCTTTTGCCTATATTATCTTTAAGATGGCTGCAGTATTACTTGCACTGAACTGCAGGATTTGCAGGGGAGATTGAGGCTGACTGTATACCACCTGGATAATTTAACTTCTCATCATTATCTGATGACAGTTAAATACTCAAAATATACCTGCCATTTTTCCTCATTTATTTAGTACTGAGGGAAAGAATATTGATGTTCTGTAGAACAGTGGTCCCCAGCCTTGGGCCTCCAGATGTTCTTGAACTACAACTCCCAGAAGCTTTCACCACCACCACTACTGGCCAGGATTTCTGGGAGTTAAAGTCCAAGAACATCTGGAGGCCCAAGGTTGGGGGCCACTGCTGTAGAAAGAGGCCTCATATGTATATTAACAGTGTGACTGTCATCAGTTACTGAAGAATTACAAACATAGGTTGGGCTCCCTATGCTGGCCCTGGACTTAGCAATTTCAGTCATTAGTGTAGTTTTACAATAATTTATGGACTGCAGCGATGTATTCTGAATTGGAAAACCACAGGAATAGCAAAAGACAGTGGCCTAAATCATGGTAGACACGGATGGAATGGTGTGGTTTGTTACCAAAAATCAAGAGTACACCATTGGCCTGTATATTTATTTGTAGCTCTATCTGTTTGGAAGACCTTGTAATTGGAATTGAAATAAGAGAATGCTTATAGAGTATGGTAAGATACATAATAAGGGACGGAATTCTCTTGGTGATTTGTGGCGTGAGTTAAATTGTTCATGTTACAACAGTGAACTGTTGTTAATTAATCAGATCCTGGAGGTGTTCCTGCATTTCTAATAATGTGCCCTGGGAGACAAGTAGCACTTGTAAATTAGTTTCAATTCAGTGCCTTAACTCGCTTTCACTTATGCATATATAAATTGCAATAGGATTCCATCCTTATGAGCTAAAATTGATCTTCTGATTGTAGTAAATCCATTACACTGCAGGTTATGGAAGCATGCACAGCATAGCAGAATCAGAAGCAAAAAACTGAGGAATGGTTTGCAAGCTTAATAGCAAGGTTATTGTAATAGCTGACTTTTCTTTAGACGTTCTTCAAAGCTACAGTTCTGTTTAAGTTCTGTCTTGAAGAATTACAAATGTGTTTTTCTCCTTTAGGAATTTTTTTCAAGCAGCATGTGTTGTTCCTGAACCTGAAGAAAAATTCAATATAGATGAATACTCCGATATGGTTACTCTGAGCAAGCCAGTAATATATATTTCCATCGAAGAAATCATCAACACTCATTCAGTAAGTAAGGAAAAGCAGAAGAACCTAATGTAGTAATTGCTAAATCTGAGTTGTACCTAGTGTGGTGTAGTAGATAGAATGACAGACTAGGACCCAGGAGACCTGGGTTTGAATTTAAACTTGGCCATGGTGACTTACCTGGGTGTTGATGGAATTGGTAGAACAACTCCTTGAATATCTCATTTACATTGAAGGCCCTATAAGTCTGTTCCGACGTGATAGCGCATAACACATGCACATAAATCTGAGTTGTTTTTTAAATGGGGACCAAAAACTCCCAAGATAATGTAACATGTACAGCTGAAGAAACACTTTCACAATGAACCACTTTGAATGTGTATTAGCACTGATAAGGCCAGCTCCTACTATTTCAATCCAGAGGTTTTTAGTATCCCCCTCCCATAATTTTGGAAGAGGCTGCAGGAGCCTCCATTGCAGATCACATTCCTGTGTGTTTGATCATACAATGCTTCTCGGCGCCTTAATGCAAAAAGTAACATTTTCTTTTTCAAAAACATAGAGCATTAAATTTCACAAATCCTACACTGTCATGAAACTGCTTTTACATCATGGAAATGGGTGATTTAGGATAAAACTGGTGTCTTGAGAATTGTTTTTATTGGATAAGGAACAGATGAATAGCAGAAGTAGCTATTTTTAAACATTACTCACAGCATCTTAATTTAGATCTGTACCATATGCTCTTTTCAAAACAACTATGGTTTGATATCTCCTGGAAACAACATTTCCAAAAAAATGTTGGTTGTTTCTGTTAACGTGGTGGAACAACGTGCATATTTCCTTCATACATCATTATGACTTATCTTGCAGACAGTTCACCCATATAGCATATGTTCTGTTTTTTTTTTGGTTTTGTATGCATTAAGGCTTTAAAAAGATATACAAAAGAAACAACAAAGTTCAACACAAATGTGTAGGATTAAATTTACCCATATGTGTATGTTATCAAGTAAAAGTCTTTTGAAGTTAAGAAATAGTATCCTGCACAGCTGTTTTTTATTCCTCTCATGGTTTTTTCTATAATCTTATGTTTAATGATAATCTCTAAAGAATGACATAGTAGTAACATAAGTATATTCCCCAGTTTGTAAACTTCTTCAAAGAGTTGCATTCTCAACCTAAGTTGTTACATGCATACATAAAAACTACCAGAATGAATAAAATAATTGGATGTGAATAATTATCCTCGCGTGCAACTATATACAATTTGATTCACAAAAAATAGTATCCTGCACAGCTGTTTTTTATTCCTCTCATGGTTTTTTCTATAATCTTATGTTTAATGATAATCTCTAAAGAATGACATAGTAGTAACATAAGTATATTCCCCAGTTTGTAAACTTCTTCAAAGAGTTGCATTCTCAACCTAAGTTGTTACATGCATACATAGAAACTTACCAGAATGAATAAAATAATTGGAAGTGAATAAAGTAATTATCCTAGTGTGCAACTATATACAATTTGATTCACAGCCTATATTATGTTTGAAATCAAAGTTAGCGCCCACACAAGGGTAGTGGATTGATTCAGGAGTTCACCCTCTTTAGAAGCAAAAAAGTCTGGACTGATTCAAATCAGCCTTTGTGTCATGTGGTCAATAAAAAAGACTTCAAATTCATGTGTTTTATAAGTGGAATAAATCATACATTATTTGACCATGTAGTTGCAGCCTTAATGTATTTCTGTGGTTTGCTGGAACAGTTCAGCAGAGGATTTTCTGCATCCTAGTGTTGTAAACTTGATAGGGATTTCTAGTGCCTTATACCACTGTTACTCTACAGCAGGGGTGTCCAACCTTTCACCTTCCCTGGGCCACATTAGAAGATGAAAATTTGGTTTGGGCCACACATACATTTGGTTTGGGCCGCATGGGGGAGCAGTCCTAGCCGTCCTCCGCAGCCCCGCTCCAAGCGCGCTTACCGGCAGCTGTGATCTCAGATAGCAGAGGCTGCCAGCTTCAACTCCGGTGGCTTTATGGGGCTGGGAGGGGGCCCACCTATTGACAGGGATGGCACAATGCAGTCATGCAGCCCCCCTGTCCCCTCCCCTCCCACTCCTTCCTTCCATTTCTCCCCCTCTACTGTTGTGACATGCCCCAGCCACATTCTGGCCACAAGCGCCGGCAGTGTAACTTGAAACTTTGGAATTTCTTTAAAAATAAAAAATTGCACTGGGCCAAATTACGAGCTGACCTGGGCCGCATTCTCAGCTCAGGCCGCAGGTTGGACAAGCCTGCTCTACAGTAACAAAATATGTAAATTAATGGAAAACCTTAAATGACTGGTCTTTTCTATAGCAACAGTCTAATTGTTCAAATAAATGAGATGAGCTGAAAAGGTGACAAATATGCTATAAGGTGAGTAGTAATGTGCTATCTGAGGTACTAGTTTAACAGTCCCTCCTACTCCATAGTAATTCTAATACCAGTTGCTCTGAGAAAGCAGAAGGATTTCAGAAGTAAAGGCAGAGTTTAAAGTCTAATGAGGCAAAAACTAAGCTAAGAGGATTGTTTGAAAAATATGTAGACTAGAATGCTATTATATTTTTATGCCAGCTTAACAGAGTTAAAAGTCAGCATAGACATTTATTGCTGCTCATCAGAGTGACTTGGTGTGTAAGAGCAAATGCTTATGATGATTTTGAGGCATGTGACAATTTGCCACCAAATTGCCACCCCTGACTGTGTTATACTGATGGGCATAGCTAATAGGATTCTGCCACTTAACGGCTAAATTGGTACACTGGTTTTAGTTATCTGTAGTTTTAGAAATAAACAAAATTAATAAGACCTCTCTCAAGTTGAGAAAAAATATGCCCTACTATTTACAAAAGCTGAGAATTCCAGCTTTGCTATTGTTTTTTATGTTTTGTCTGTTTTGCAGTGTTTTGTTCCCCAGAACAATTATTCAAACATTATTACAAATATAGAGTGTCCTGGAAGATTTGGATAACTCCTATGATAGTTTTCCATTCCATTCTGTTTAATATCTTTCCTGTGTCTCTGACATCCTTTGTATAAAATTGTTCTACATTACTACTGTAAGGCAGGCAAGCAGTATCACAACCAATGAAAAGTGCCTGTTGGATTTTATTACTGTGAAACAGTGGTTCTCAGCCCTGGGTAACCCAAGTGTTCTTGGAGTACAGTTCTCAGAAACCCCTTACTCAAGGTTGGGAACCACTGTTGTAAAGCAGTCTTCATAGTGTAGCTGTGTGTACTGACTGTGCTAAGAAAAAACAAGTCTTGCAAAGTGATGAACAACTATTCTAGATTTATTGTTATGTAGTCCATTGCTTTCCTTACAACACAAATAAATTTGCCTAGGGTTTAAGCAGAATATGAAAAAATGGAATGTGTAGGAGCAAACAAGTTAATTGCACAAAATCCATCCATCTCATCACAGTTTCCTTGGGATCATATATTTTTAATATTATATTTTTCTCATTGTTTTTAAAACCAGACAAAACACTACTTAGTTGTGGAAACTAAGTAGTGCTGCTTCAGCACTGCTGTGTATTGAGTCTGTAATTCCTATGATGATAATGTTACTAATTGACAACTGTAGGAAAAACAAGGTTGAAAACTCAGCCAATAATTTTGTTCTAAAAACACTGGCTTCCGATCATGCTGTTACTCCTTTCATAAGTGAAAACAAAATCAGTTCCAGATACACTTCCAACCCACTCTCCTTGAATGTCCAACCCACTCTCCTTGAATGTATGTGAATTTCAAAAGATACACTTCCAACCCACTCTCCTTGAATGTATGTGAGTTTCAAAAACATATCAGTTGATCTCCAGAAATTCAGTGAAATGCTTAATAGTTCCGCTAGTATTATCTCATAGATTCTACCAAGAAAATTATATAGTAGTTTTTCAAACAGAATACTTAAAGACAAAATGTTGAGGTTGGTATCCAGTTATTATCCCTTTGCCAGTTCAGAGCATCTGTCAGTGGAACAAGGAGGAGGTTGATCTTTAGTCCTTCCCCATCTGCTCTGTTTCTCCCCAATCTGCTCCGGAGAGTTTCCAACACCTCCTGGATGGATGCCTTCCAACTTTAGAGTGGTAATAGTTATACACCATCATCACAACCCACTCATGTTGTCTACATTGAGAAAAGCTTATTGTAGGTTTGGAGCTTTGCAGTATAGAAACTGTAGGAATGCTAGCATTTTGAAAATGTATTCTCTAAAGCAAACGCTTGATGCAGGTTTTTAGTTTTACCACATGCATAACACTTCCTGTTATTTTTGTGTCTGTTACATGTTATTTTTGTTGTTTTATGAATAGACACCATTCTTTATGTTTTCTGCAATGATTTTACTCCTGAAGCTGGGTAATAAAAACTTTATTGGAAGAGCATTTCTAAAATCTGCTCAGTTGGTGGTGTATATTTTGGATAAATGTATTGCTTTGATAGCAGAAAGGTATTATTTATTTAATGTAACAGGAGTAGCAGTGTAACACCACATGCACCCCAATTTGCTAAGAAGAAATCAGTAGCATTCCACTGGATTGTGTATTCTTTTCCTTCTTTTTTGCACACATTTTTCTCATCATTTAAACATGTGTACAAAGTGTTGATTGTACAATGAGATTTTAAAAAGAGAATTTATCTTAGTTAAGTTCAGTGCAAGCAACTGCAATTTGATTTACAGTGGTGCCTTGCTTAGCAACGTTAATCCGTTCCCTGAAAAACGTTGCTAAGCGTTTTCATCGCTAAATGGAATTTTAAAAGCCCATAGAAATGCATTAAAATGCCATTAATGCGTTCCTGTGGGCTTAAAAACTAACCTTATGCGAAGATCCTCCATGGGGTGGTCATTTTCGGTGCCTCTAAAGCGAGGCAACACAGCAGGTGGCCATTTTGTTTTTCCAGCGGCCATCTTGGAACCTCCGATCAGCTGGCTGAAAATGGGGGGGTTGCGGTTATCGCTTCCCCACGATCATCGCAAAGCGATTTTTCCCCATAGGGACCATCGCTGAGCGATCTCTCTTGCGATGGCCAAAACCCCATTGCTAAGCGATTTCATCGCTCAACGGAGCGATCGCTAAGCAAGGCACCACTGTATATTTTCTTTTTTGCACACATTTTTCTCATCATTTAAACATGTGTACAAAGTGTTGATTGTACAATGAGATTTTAAAAAGAGAATTTATCTTAGTTAAGTTCAGTGCAAACAACTGCAATTTGATTTATATTTTGTTCATGTCAAGTGGATCGCTAAGCAAGGCACCACTGTATATTTTGTTCATATCAAGTGTGAATTATTTCCTTCCCAGCTCATATAGCTGATGAATATTGCATTGTTTCTCAGTGTAATGTTACCATGTTCATTTATTCCCTACCCTTTGTGTCTCCTGCAGGCTTTGTTCATGTTTCTAACTTGTGTTTATGTGTGTGAGATCCTTTTTCATTATGTGATTGTGGCTGAAGTCCTGTTGCTTAATGTAGATTAAGCTATAGTAGATCCATTGAAACCCCGGGGATTTGTGAGTTAACTCCTTCATAAGTGCCATATATTCAAATATACCTACTCTACCTGTAACTTAGTGTCCTAAAGCATGTCACAGTTAGAATAGGCCCATTTAAATTGGTGGAATGTACAGAGGAGTTGACTCAACAAATCCCCAGTGATTCAGTGGGCCTTCTCTAGTGCCATTTACTACACCAAATATCAGGCTTTCAGTCAGAGTGTGTAGTTGCATATGGAAAGAAGTCAGATTTTTTTCCAGTGTTTTCAACCCAAGCAATCTTCCTTACAGTTATTGTTAGAGCACCAGGATGCCATTGCTCCCGACCCAAATGATGTCTTAAATGAAATCCTGCAAGGGCTGGGAGAAGTTCCTGATGTGGAGACCTTCCTAGGTAAGCTAACACAACAAAATGAACAATGTAGTCACAAATTTGATCCTAAACTCTATTAAATAAACCTAAACTAATATAAGGGAAATAAAAGTTATTGAATTAATAGAGGACTTGGATTATTGTACATGTTGGTGGTTCTGTTTGTTTGTCTTTGGTTTTTTGGTTTTGTTTCGTTTTTGTTTTTCAGAAGTAGCTTCTAGACTTTAATGTGAAGGCATTGGAATTATATCAATTATCATTTTTATAGTGTGACACAGTGTTGCGGCTTTCTGGACACAACCATCATTGTCAGTAATTTGTAGTTATAGGACCTGTTGCTGAAAACATCTTTAGGGCAGCAGGTTGCCTATCCTAATTGATATAGCGCTATTTGAATTAGACATTTATCACTTCTATATAGATTTCAGGTACATATTTTAAAGATGTTTTACCCATTCTAAGAGTTCAGCACATTTTTTTTTTAGATCTATCCACACACACATTTTTTTGGAGGGGGCAGGAAAGGCTTTTCCTCTCTTGAAACCTATGAATCAGGAATAGAAGGCCATCAGTGATAATTAAATGTTCTTGATAAATAACAATTTAAGTGCTCTGCTCAGTTGTCTTTTCCTGCCCATCTCCATTCATAAACTGGTAAGGAAGCAGATGGCTGAAAGATGCTCTCTTAGTATATAGCTGAAAATTCAGAGCTACTTACTTTTGGTTGTTGTGGGTTTTCCGGGGCTCTTTGGCCGTGTTCTGAAGGTTTTTCTTCCTAACGTTTCGTCAGTCTCTGTGGCCGGCATCTTCAGAGGACAGGAGTAGTACTCTGTGCTCTGGTGCAGTGCTACTCCTGTCCTCATGAAGATGCCGGCCACAGAGACTGGCGAAACGTTAGGAAGAACAACCTTCAGAACACGGCCAAAGAGCCCGAAAAACCCACAACAGTCATTAGATCCCGGCCGGCGGTGAAAGCCTTCGCAAATACTACTTACTGTTCTTTACTGCTGTGCTTCTCCACCCAGATTCTTTTGTAACAGGAGGGATTATCAGGAAGCCTTTGATCTTTTTTTCAGTTTTAGCAGCATAATGAGTTTCTGTTCCCTCCTCTCATACAATGCCTACCCAAGACTAACAAAAGCAAGTGGAGTAAGGATAGCAAAGTACATGCATTACTATATTTAGTGGGTTTGTATTTTTACTATACTCAAAACAGTTGAGTTCATAATGTAAAGAAAGCACACACTTAAAGCAAAACGAGACCAGCTGGTGCATGCTATAGGATGTCTGGTGAATGCTTGCTGTGTTAGAATCACTTTGTTCTTCTGTATTCAGACAATTCCTAACCAATTGTGAGTCATTCAAATTTGTCACCTGCACTTCTGTATCCAGTGCCAACACAAGTGGGATTTTCTTCCCTTTCTCCTCTTCCTGTCTTCTCTGCTCCAGAAATCTAATCTGGGAAATTTGTCAGCTCTCCAGACCAGGTTTTTAGGTGCACAGAAGATTGTAGGAGGAAAGATTGTTGAATCTGAAGTTCATTGTTGGAATCTGCCCAGTGTTATAAGTGACTAACATAATGATCCTTAGATTGAATAAAAATACCCCCCAAAAAAGTCCTGTGCTGGTTGCCAGATAATACTGTTTTGCAGCCAGAACAGCAGCTAAATCTCTTGAATGTTTCCTGAAATATCACCATACAAATATTATTTTCTGCCTACATGTGCATGCCAGACTTTGAAAAGTTACTTTTAGGACTATAACTCCCAGAATCCCCAAGCCAGCATGGGTGATGGTGGTATTTCTAGAAGTTGTATTCCAAATAAAACAAAGTATTTCCAGGTGCTCATATTTGCAGTGCCCGGTAGAAATATGAGAACATGCTGAGGAAGACTTGTAGCCAAAATAGAGCTTTGGCACATGATCGTTTCTGGCATTCGTGACTAGCACGAGTGGGATAAATTGTACAGCTTACACCATGATATGTTATCCTGATAAATTTGTACAGTTTGCTTAAAAACATGCTGGATTTACTTTGCTTTGGAATAGAATTTTTGTTTCATTTTTTGGTTCTAACATCTCTTTCTTTCCCTGCAGCAGAAGAGCACATCCTTAGCGTGGGTTTGCCCCCCTCCACCCACTGTGATAGGCTGGAATTTGTGCGCTAAACAAATGGCCCCCAGGCTCCCTCTATTGGTGTGGGAGAGCCTGGTCAAGTTCCCGCCTCCATTCTGTTGGGTCATCAGAATTGTTTTTCATAATCACCACTTTCCTGTTTTGTATCAAAAAATGTATTTTTTTTCATTTGCATCAGACTCCATGCAGATCCAGCCTCCTCTTCTCCCCATTCATCCCTAGCTGCTTTGAAAGTACTGTGTATTCCACTGGGAAGTGTATTCCACTACCCACCCTGCATGACCTTGAAGCCTGTGAACCCCAGTCTCCCTAGGGAAACATTTAAGAAGACATCTCCTTTATTGTTGATTCTTCCATTCCCTAGCACTTCAGTGGCCACAGTTAGGGATTAAAGAAGAAAACTTGCTACAGCCAGATTCAGTCCTTCTCAAGTCAAAAAAATTCTGTCATTAACCACAAGGTCCTGCAGTCTGCACACCTATCTGCCCTGGTTTCTTCTTCTGTGTACATCAAGGATGGGCAATATTCCCCTAAAGAATCAGGAGGATAAGGGACTTTGAACAGGAAGCAAACCAACTCTGCCCTAAAAAATAGATCATACCAAATAAGAGTTTTTCACTCAGAATCTTCTGCTGCATAATGACATACCTCACAATAAGTGGTCCTGTTCATTTCCAGACACAGCTATAAGATGAGCCAGTTTTGTTCTGATTGTTGAACACATGGAACGGAACGGAAACCCATGACCTTCTGATAGCAAAATGACCCTCAGGGCCCCCAGTATATATCCTACTCTTGTGAGAGTATCTCAAGAGAGGCTCACCAAGTAATTCTAGCAGCTTCTTGCTGGCTTAGAAGGGTATGGTTCCCAGAAAAGATAGACATGGCTCAAATGGATATAACCCTTCCCATTGTCAGAAATCTGTTAAGCCAAAGGGACATAGACCCCCAAGATCCTGGATTACTCCAGATGCATATGTAGGTCTTGAGCACAACGGACCTGGCGAGCAGGAGTTGTTCTGTGGAAGTTATTAACGTCACTCTAACCTCTCAGGGCAGTTTTTTTGTAAGAGCTGCCTCAGGAAGATTAATTTACTGTGTAAAACTTTGATTTGAAGTATAAAAAGACAAGCAGCTGCTTTGCCTTCAGTCCTTACCAGGAATCGCTTGGACTCATTGTCATCCCATGGGAGAGATTTTTGAGAGAAATATTGGTAACAGAACCACGCACAGTACATAGATGCCTTTTTTTGGAATTTGCATGCTGTCTGAAAAACATGTTTCACAAAAGTCCTATGCAATCAACCATACAAAGTCTTCCTTAGGCATTTATCCTGGAAGGTCTTTTTCCTCACAAAAGTAATAGAGCCCCAGAAAGTTTCAGAATGGGGTGGGGGTGGGGCTTTATCTGCCAGACCAGAAGTCGTGTATAGTAGAAAAAGGCTTCTACTATTCTCAGACTAGACTCATTCATCATCCCAAAAGTTAATTCTACATTTCCTAGGGCACAGCTGGTAATCTTGCAGTTTTCCTGACCACAACCCTCTGGAAAGAGAGTGACATGGATGTGTAGATAGCAGTTGAAGTCTAAATCAGAAAAGAACATGGGGCATCAAGGGATCTGGCTGACTGATTATTTCCTTCCAGACATATATTATGGCTAAAAAGGTTGCCAAGGCCACTGTAGCAAAGTAGAATAAAGTCTAAATGATTTCCGCACATGAAATTTTGGCTCTGTCTGTCCTAAAGTGACTGTAGCACATTCCGCCAGAAGTGGAATATTTATATCCTGCCTTTCTCAAGAGGATCCAAGGTAGTTTACAATATGAAAACAAACAGTATTAAAAACTAAGAATAGAATTATGACCGTATTTTTTAAAAGAAATAGATCTAAAATTAAGAACCAGTGGATAAAAACTATTTGAATCCATTCTAAAGACTTTTTTCGAAAGCACTGTATTTTGGAGGCAGATAGTTACTGAGAAAAAGCCTATAGCAATAGAGGAGGCCTTTTCTTGTGTCCTTAGTCTGTTCTGTTGTTATCCTGCTTTCAGTGAGTTCAAGAAGAGTGCATGGCTCCCCTGCTCTTCATTTTATTCAGACAACACTCCTTTAGGGTATGTCTGGTTAAGAGAGAATGACTGGCCCAAATGTTACCTAGAGACAAGGAACAGCAACTATCAGTGTTGGAGAGCTTTTGCTGCTGGTCCTGAGATGCAGCAAAAAGTAATACTTTGACCAGTTGGACCAAGGAGCTGACATAGCTATTAGCATAAGGGCACTTTTAGTTGACATTGGTAGGGCTGCCATCTTGTCTTTTCCTTTGTGAGACAATACAGATTGGACCACTTCACATCGGCAGAGGCCTCCTTCAGTGTCAGATTGTTTCCTCTTCTGTGACACATGCCAAAATTATTTGCTTCATAATACATTAAGCCCTACCTGAGATATCTCAGAGCTTTGGAACATCACAAACTAAAAACATCTTCCTGCACTGTAGGAGAAAAATACATCAGAACTTAATGTAACACCTTCGTTCTGTACAGTAGAAGGACGTATATACCCTTTAATGAATGTTGCTGGGTAGCACATGGGATTTTCAGAGAGCACACAATGGGATCCTGTGGCATTCCCCTTGTTTCCTGCTTAGATGTTGTTATGTGCTGTCAAGTTGCCTCTGAATTTTAGTGATGCAATGAATGAGTAATCTCCAAAATGTCCTGGCCTCAACAGCCCTGCTCATCTCTTGCAAACTGAAGCCTTTAAGGAGTCAGTAATCTCCAAAATGTCCTGGCCTCAACAGCCCTGCTCATCTCTTGCAGACTGAAGCCTTTAAGGAGTAAACTCACTCTTTTTTTGTCATCTTCTTTTCCTGTTGCCTTCGAGTCTCTTTTTTTGTCATCTTCTTTTCCTGTTGTCTTCACGTTTTCCCAGCATCATTGTCTTTTCCAGAGAATCCTGCTTTCTCGTGATGTGGCCAAAGTAAGGCAGCCTCAGTTTTGCCATTTTTTGCATACACAGATCGTTCAGGCTTGATTTGCTTTAGGACCCATTTGTTCACCTTCCTAGCAGTCCAGGTTATCTGCAAAGCTCTACTTCAGCACTACTTTTCAAATGAATCAGGCTTTTTTTCCAAACAAATTTTACATGTTCAGATGGTCTCAGATTTTCATGTTTACGTCTTTAATGTTTCTGGTATCTTTTATCTGTGACTCCGCTGTTTTTTCTCTATGGGCTATGAGGCTGCAGCTGGAGGCAGGACTGGGATTTGCGGGTGGCCCTACTCCACTAGAAAAGAGGTGGGGAGCCATTAGTGTGGTGCACAAACTCTTGCCTATCAGAGAAAGCATCCCAAGCTAAGGATGTCCTCTTCCCACTGTAGGAAACAAACATCTTAAGGGTAAGTACCAATGCAGCTTTCTACAGTCATAGACAAAAAAATTAGAAGTAGTAACGTTGCTTTTTCTTTTTCCCTTGCAAGGGGAAGGAGCTATTGATCCCAATGACCCTAACAAGGAAAACACTTTAAACCAGCTTGTTAAGACAGAAATTTCACTTTCACTGACTAGGAAATATGATTTACGGGAAGGTGAAGAACAGGATATCAAAGGCCTGATGATAAAGTATGTTTTTATTGCCTTTTATTTTATTACCATGTATTGTGGTTTTTAAAGCCTTGCATTAGTAAGACTTTACTCAAAATTACTTTCATTGTGTGTTTTAAAAAAACTTTTAATTCCACATGAACCTTAGATAGACAATACAGATTTTAGCCAAAATTACATATTTATGCTTAGGAAGATTTTGCATTTAAGCTCATCCACATATGATAAAGTGTTTTACAGTATCTATTAATCAGAAGGAAATTCTTGATTCAGGCCCTAAACAGCCGGTGGTACATGCTAAAGTCACTTTAACTTTTAATAAATCTGTGCTTGGCACAATGGATTTGATTGCGAGACAGTGGGGGATGGGAGGAGGAAAAAGAAAGGTTCTAATTAAGGAACAGCAACTTTCCAACAACTCTTGTTATGTATTCAGAAACAACATTTTGCATCTGCTTAATTGACTACAGTACTGTCCTTGCAGCTTCTGCCACTGGCATGATATGTGGAGTAGTGTACGTGAGAGTAAGGCAGATCAATAAGACAATTTTCTCAGAGAAAGAGTTCCTGTACACTTACTGCAGTGTTAAATTCAAGACATATGTTTCCTTCAATTTCCTGTAAAATCTAATCTGTATCCTGCTATTCATGCAGTTCTCTTTTTCTAAAACCTTCTAGTGCTACAGTTATTTGTGTTCTTTCTATGGTTTTTCTGAGAGCAAACTACTAGAATGATGTATCTAGATATCATATGAATGCATTTTATTGCATTTTAAGATGAAATTTCTATTTCATCTTTATAATTCAGCAAATTCTAAGGTAGTGAAAAACAAACATGCTGCCATTTTAAAAATCCCTAACAATAATGTTCAGTTGTTTCATTGCTCTTTAGAAGAAAGAGCAGTGAAACAACTGAAACTACAATAAACCCAACAAAAAAGTGCATTACATCTGATCATTAAAAGTATGAACATAAAACATGCTATTTGCCTATCTACCCCTAAAACATACCGGACTGGGAGACAGCAAGAGAAACAAGACTGAGAAGCTTTCTTAATTCATGTACAGCATTTTAGTTTCAGTTCTGCTGGTAGTGTCTACAGAATACAAAGTATTAAAATAATAAACTCAGTAATAAGCATGTTACGCTTATTCTTTGAGCAGTGAGAACTCCAGGAGTGCCTCCACTACATGTGCTTTCCCTACCCTTGGAATGAAGTCTCTGGGAGATCAAGGATCTTTTTTATGATAATTTGCATAAATGCAGGCTCAATCTCACATACCTAACAGTTCTGATCTTTCCTACATTTCAATTTTACATGTTTTTAATAAATTCTGATAAGAAATGAGTTAAAATGAAATTACCATTCATTTCCAATTCCAACAGATAGTACTTTCTCATTAGATTTGTTATGGTGACAAAGGTTATTGTAGAAGGGAATTGAAGTTAAACCTGCAATTCTGTGCACACTTGCCTAGACGTAAGCCTCACTGAGAACAGTTAGAGCACATGTTTGTGTTTGGGCTAAACATTTATATAATTGTGAAGTGTCTTTCTGTGGAATCAAAACTGTTTTCATTCTTCCATTAAGGACAAAAAGGCTTATTGTTGATGTGATACTAGCTCAGCCAGGAGAGTCACTTGCAAAAATATTGGAAACACCAGCATCTGAACTTCAGGTAACTACGTTTTTGTGTGAATTTGTCCTGAGAGAAGAGAATAAAGAGAATAAAGAGCAAATACAAGGGTAAAGAAAGCTAGCAATTTTTTTCCAGTTAATTAATGAACCTGAATATTTTTTACCCAAAGTACCCAGCTTTGCCAAAAAAAACAAACAAAAAAATAGTTAACTATCTCCATTCTTGTGAACTCTTTTCCTCTAGGTAACTCATCTCCACAAGCACCCTTTGCAGTAGCTTAGCAAGTATGACCAGACCAATACTGGTCAGCTGGCTTTGTGACTAGTGGGTGTTTAAAATTTATAACTGACGTGTTTGTACATTTGAATCACGAAATGCAGCTGCAATGGCTCTTGAGAAAAAAACTCCTAAGTTATTTCTAAATATATCTGTCCCTAAACAAACTTACTGTAAATCTTTTGAAAATATATCTGGGTCCAGCTTTCTCTCACTGTAGGATTTCAGTTCTCATCATGTAATGATTCTTATGTGGATTTAATCCAGAAAAATATTCAAGATTGCTCTGTAAAGCCAATGACAGAGAGTTTAAGATTGCCTTTGACGTCAGGTGTCTCCTACATTAAACCTAAAAAATACTTAATTTAACATGTGGGAAATGATGCTTCAATGAGTGTTCTAAAATGTTTTGATGAGTTTTGTACATTAAATAATATGCTTTGAGGTTAAGTTTATTTTGTTACATTAACAAAACAAATAACTGTCTGGGAAAGTATTGTGGAAAGTATGAGAATATTTGTCTTCAAGCTCTTCTCCATGTTTTCTCTACTAGCAGTCTTCAAAATCTCCAAGAATCACTATGAGGAAGTAAATATACATTGCAGTATGATCTGTTCTGTCTTTTGAGAATTTTATACAAATAGGAAATGGTTTTGAACAAGAGGGAAACATGGCAGGGGAACTGGTCCTTACAGGAAAGACTGAAAGAACCAGGTGTTAATGGTGGGGAGGGGCAGCTGTGGTAGAAAAGCAAAATATGCCATGTTAAATCAGTAAATTGTACCTGCTGAAACAGATAAAAAGGAAACAAAGGGAAAATGGTTTGGAACGTTTTCTGTGCCGAAGGATGCCAGCAGGAGGGTGACAATGACTCTTCTTTATCTGTACTCTTTGGGATAGGGCAGAAATAGTAAACTAATTTTATTATTTGTTTCTACCAGTTAAAGTACCTGTTAGAAAAGTATCTCTTAAAATGCTGCAACAAGGAGGGTAGCCTCCCCTTTTTCTTACATGACTCATAGTGACAGCTCTCCTACTGTTCTGTTCCCAGCCATCTGAAGCAGATTTTCCAAAGGCATAGGGGACTCCAGGTGAAGAGGGAACAGACAAAAACTCTCCTCCTTCCCCAATCCACAAGTGGGACTCCTCCACTGCACCAGTTCCCACCTCTGGATCCCTAGAGGGTCTTGGACTAAAACTCCCAGAAACATTCTCCACTAGCTGTGCTAGCTAGGATTTATGGGAGTTGTGGTCCAGGAACATCTGGAGACTCATGGTTTGGAAGCACTCCTCTATTGGATCAAAAGGCTTCCATTAATACATGGCACCCTTGTGACAAGTAAAGCATGGGTCTAAACTAATTCCCTAAGTCCAGTGTTATGTTACATGGATGCTGCTGTGCCAGGGTGTTAGAAGTTTTTTGGCTCACTACAGTCCTTGATACAACCTGAAAACTGGCTCCAGAGGTTTTCCAGGCTTCTGGAGCAGGTCTTAGGGATGCACAGAGGGCTACAGAGAGGAGAGATTGACCACTCTCATTTCCATTGAGAAGAACAGTCAAGTGGCCATATTATACTAAGCCATCCAGTTCATTTGTCAAACTGAATCATATCAATGCTATGTGGCAGCAGCTCTCCACAGTTTCTGGCAAAAGCATTTTCTAGCCTTACCTGGACATGTCAAGGATTAAACCTGAGACTTTCTAAATGTAGTGTATGTAATTTCCTCCTGAGCAATGGTCTCTCCTTCAGTGGATAACCCCACTGGATTCAGGCCAGTGATTAGAGGGAGGTTTGGAAGAAGCACTAGGGAAAATATTTTAGAAATTAAACAAATTGTCTAGAGACCCTTTATGATTGCTTTCTTTGGACCTTTTTTTTGGGGGGGGGAGATTGGATAGGCATCTGTGAAGGACCGTCCTTTGGACCCTTTTTTTTGGGGGGGGGGGTGGAATTGGATAGGCATCTGTGAAGGACCATTCAAATAATGGGGAGAATCAATCATATGTGGTCTGAGTGCAGCCATGTTATAAGTGGTAGGGGCAGCAGACAAAATATGGCAAGAAATGCCTGTATGATTTAAGGATAGTCTCAATTAGCTCTCCTTGCTATACCTTTGTTACACTACAGTTGGCTTCCCAAATAACTTGACATAGAGGCAAAGCAAGGGTACCACGTAGAGCAGTGTTTTCCAATCTTGGGTAACTCAGATGTTCTTGGATTGCAGTTCCCAGAAACCCGAGCCACCACAGCTGGTGGTGAAGTATTCTGGGAAATTCAGTGTACAAGAACACCTGGGTCACCCAAGGTTAAGAACCACTGAAGTAGGGAGAATAGGCTCATTTCATATTTTTGGTTTGGTTTTTACTGTCCTTGTCAAAGGCTTGCTGTCTATTGAGTATATGGTATTTTCATTGTCTTTAAACTATTCAGTTTGCATTTGCCTAGAGCAGTAAAGTTGCATGGGGAATTTGAAACTGTAATCCAAAACCAAGAACTTTTATTCCATGTAGAAAGATTATAATGCCTTTGAATATCAGCTTTACACAGTTGACTTGCTTTCTTGTTTGAATAAAGTTCTAAACTGGTCTTTTTCTTAGGAAGAGGAACACTTAAAAGTAATAGAAAAACGTGCAATTTTGGATTCCAAAACTCCGGAGAAAATAAAACACAGTCGATCTATTCTTGAAGAAGGACAGTTGCCATTAGAACAAAAGAAAAGGAAAATCCAAAGGAACCTCCGGACACTGGAACAGGCTGGACTGGTTTCAGCTGAAAATAAATACCAGGAAATCATCAATGAAATAGCAAAGGTTGTTGGAATATTGCTAGACTTCCTTCTAACCCTTCATTATATGGTTGTGTTAAAATTCTATGCATATTGTAAGGAAAACTGTAATACGATATGCAAATACACTCCAATTTAAAGTTAAGAAATGGTAAAGCTGAATGCTTGCATAGAGTATTTGTCTTCCAATTGTCAAATACAGTAGTGATGAACTGTATTTCCACTGTAGCCCTCCTAACATTTCCCGCAAACTCTGCCTGCTTCACATGCAACACTGATATTCAAAGAATTGTATACAGAACCATTAATGGGAAAAGTGATGATGAGTTCTGGCCGGTTGGGTGTAGCTTTATCATCTAATTTGTAGAAAAGGGGTCAAGTCTATTTGGAAACAAATCTGTCATATTTTTTGGAGGGGGGGAACAGAATTTGTGAGGTATACCCTCATGCAGCAGCTACTAAATGGTCACCAAAATCTGCACAGCAGACGTTCCATGTATGCTTTTTCATAGGTTATAACACTGAATCTTCATATTGAACATGGATGCTTGCTGAGTTCTGGCACAAATTAAATCCTGTGTTGCATCAGAAAAAGAAACTACTAGAGATGGGGCTATTCATACGAATATGAATCCCCCCACGTCTTATGGAGCGAAGAAAACAGATTATATTTTGCTGTTTTCTTCTCCTAAAAAATTGGTGCGTCTTATGGAAAGGTGCGTCTTATGGAGCGAAAAATACGGTAAATCCTGTGTTGCTTCAGAAAAAGAAACTACTAGAGATGGTGCTATTCATACGAATATGAATCCCCCCGTACAGCTAGACTTAACGAGAGTTCGGGCCCTTACACATCCTTCCTTACACATCCTTACCATCCATTTACACATCCGCTGCTGGCGGCAGCCTCGGTCAGCCTTCCAATGGACCCTCGTAAAGTCCAGCTGTGTGGGAATTTGTATTACGAATACCTCCATCTCTAGAGACTACCCAAGCACACTGTTCAAGCAAATAAGGTGAATTAATACAAGTGACTTTTCACACTTGCATTAACTATGTGCCAGTACTCAGGCATATGTTTCATTGACTTAGTAAACAAACATCACAATAGAATTAAATTTCTGTCTTGCCTTATTGCCACTGATCTCATATACTTCCCCAACTTCATTCTTGTGACACCCCAGGAAGTTTTTAAGGTTTGCAAGATTAAATAAATGAAATAAAAATAAAAATTTCTCCCTTTCCCTCAACCCTGTAATTCTTTAGGATATCCGAAATCAAAGAAGATATCGACAACACCGAAAAGCAGAACTGGTGAAACTTCAGCAGACATTGAATGCACTCAACTCCAAGAAAGCATTCTATGAAGAGCAAATAAATTATTATAACACTTACATTAAAACCTGTCTAGACAATTTGACCAGAAAGTGAGTGAAACGTTTTTACTTTTAAAGAAACGCCAGAGTGGAACCACTACTACATACCATTATTTATGTGGAAAAAAGGACATTAGATCCACTCAAACCTCTTTCAAAAACCGTTTTGCTGCCTTTATTAGAAGATAACAATTAGGCTTCAGTCTTATATAGAGCAAGCTGAGGCCTTCCATAGGCTTTGATAGTACCTCTTATAATCTTTAGCCAGTGGCTCAGCTGACTTGGACTAATGGTTAAATAGACACTGCATCTGGATCTTTTTATGTAGGCAGCTGGACATTGTACAACTCCTTTTTCTGCCTGAGCACCGCCCCCTAGAGTCGAACACGACTGGACAAAAATTGTCAAGGGGAACCTTTACCTTTACCTTATTATCTTTAGCCAGTGGCCCAGCTGACTTGGACTAATGGTTAAACAGACATTGCATCTGGATCTTTTTATGTAGGCAGCTGGACATTGTACAACTCCTTTTTCTGCCATCACTGGTAACTGATAGAAGTAGGGGGCTGAAATAATGACCTATCCTCAGTTCTTTGATTGCACTGTAAGTCATGATTAGTGTATTTGGAAAGTTCATAATAAGTCTTACTATTTGGCAGCTTTTAGCTAGCTGCCTTTGCTTTTAAAAAATTATAATAACATGTTGGAGATATATAGGCTTGACATATTTTAGTCTTGACCTGAAATTCAACAACCTTTATCAGGAGAAAGGAAATATGCTGTCTGCGTGGGCTAAGATCTGCTTACATCTTTTCCGTTTTACAGAAATTCACGACGATCAATCAAATTAAATGGAAAACAAGAAGAGAAAGGAAACCGGCTCAAGAATATTTCACTGAAGTACACAGCAGCAAGACTGCATGAAAAGGGGGTGATCCTAGGAATCGATGAACTTCAGCCTAACCAGTAGGTTTAGCACTGAGTGTGTTCAGATTATGATCTCTACTTGTGCTTGTTCAGTTGTTTTGAATCAATGGGCATACCTGTATGCCTGCTGGATCTTCTGGCCTTTCCCCCTTCCTTCCTTCCTGTAGCCCTTCATATCCACCTGAAAACCCTGTTTGTTCTAGTCCTAGAAGACCCTCTGGAGCAGGATGTTGATGGTATAAGGGCATATGAGAGGGATAGAAAGGAAATCCCAATTCTGCTAGTGTTGGATGTAGAAAGAGACTATTGGATTCCAAAGTACATAATTATATTCTGGCCAGTATTTACTGACTGACTTTTTCAGATTTTGAATTATAAAACTGGCTGATCTGTCTCATTCAAGTTTTAAAACTATTTTTTTAAGTTAGTATGTTTTAATGCACAAGATACAGAACAGACAAACCAAATCAGGGTAGATATGCATTTCTAAGGTGACCTTCAGGCAGAAATCAGAAGCATAAACCTAGTAAAGCAACATACTCAAAGATCCCTTGTGTTACATCAGGCATTCTTTTGTGATCAGAAGTGTGGAAGGAGAAAGAAAAATGCAGGAAGATGCTGAGTTAGTGGCAAAGGAGGGGGAGAGTGTCCCCTTTACTTCAGAAGTAAATTTCTTTTGGTCTTTCGTGCTGCAAAGTCATTGACTTAATCATCAGAGTCTATACTGTGGTCACAGCACAACTGATTTCAGATTCAGAGAACAGGAAGAGTGGTGGGACATAGAAAGGATAGCATGTGTAGAGAGAAGCACAGGCTCCCAGCATTGATCTTTCAAGAAGGAATTGAAGAGTCTGTACTCATTACCGTTTTAAAGTCTCTCATTGTCTGTTCTTGGTGGCTGCTGTAGGAAATCAATGGGGACTTTCTCTTGGCAGCAGCTTTTACAAAAAGCAGAAATAAAGATAAAACAGAGCACAGTGTCCTGCAGACAGCTGCTACCTGGGCAAACACCCTTCTCCCAGCACCGTGGAGTCACATTTTCCATTGGTGAAAATGTGTTGTTTTCTGGAGAAACAGAAATGCACAAGCAGTGGCATGAACCTAAACAAGAATTTGGTCAGTGTCCCTCCAGAGGGGCAAGTGGGAGGTTGGGCACAGATCTGTATGCCTCTAAGTAGCCATGGAGTGAGGGGGCCATGGGCGGAATAAACATGCCTGATAATTTACCAATACAAATGTTTGTTGTTTTCTAAGGTTTAAGAATGTGATGTTTGAAATTACACCTGGCGAAGAGGTGGGTGACTTTGATATCAAAGCTAAATTCTTGGGTGTAGAGATGGAAAAGGTGCAGCTCCATTTCCAGGTAAATATTCTTGTTTTTTTTAAATCGTACAGTGTTTGTAGGGATATGTCTGTCCTCCCAAGGGCTATTCAGAGTTGAGTTAGTTATTTAATGCATTATTAAGTGTATTTAAATGCACACTTGTCCTCTGTGCTACTTGATTCCCTTGATTTATGCATGCTATTCCAGATCTTCAAGATTTTGAGGCTTTTGTTCCTTTGTTTTATATTCATTTTTCTCTAGATATCAGATCAATATCGAATTTTGATACAGTGTTTGGAAGGAGGATTACTTAAGAGATATTTTCTGTGTACATTTTTACTTGTTTCTATATGTGTACTTACAGTATATGGATTCCAGCATATGTTAAAATATGTCAGCTTCCAAACATTAATTAAATATATTTTTCATTATTGTAGGATTTGCTTCAGATGCAGTATGAAGGTGTCTCTGTAATGAAAATGTTCGATAAAGCTAAAGTGAATGTAAACCTTCTCATATTCCTGTTGAACAAGAAATTCTATGGAAAATGAAGATGAATGATGTCCGGGGCTCTGCTTCAAATCAAGTCCAATTTCTAGGTCTTTTTGGGTCTATGTTTAACTATGTGGAGCTATCATACTTTTTTCAAGGAAGTCCCGAAGAATGTACTTAACGTGCCTTTTTTTCATCCTTTGATAATATAAATTGTAAAACAAGAAAATGGAAATCAACTTTAACCCTTCCAGATTTCTGTGGTGTTGGTACTCAATTTTTAAAAAAGGAAAACGTTTTAGTGGCATCCAAACATTATGGATAATTTTGAATATGCAGGTCATTTATTCAAACAGCATATATAGAAATTCTTTTCCACTAAAGGTAGCTATCTTGATCATCAAATATAGTTCTACTTAAAATGATTGTTCATAGGAATATAAATCCTAATTCGTGCTCTTTAAGAATAGATTGGGAAATATTTCTTAAATGCTGTTGCTTTTCCCCAGAAACCTGGTCAATTGTAAAGTGAATAATTGTGCAATTCAAAGTTTTTATAGGTAATTATAAATTTAACATTTACTGTATAAAAATATATATTTTGCTATCCATTCCTACTAAAAATGCACTACTGCCTCACTGAAATTTTCTTTATACACAGACTTTTAATTTAAGTGTAAAAGGGCAATCTGAATAGTGATCAGTTTTTTGCAATGTACTTGAGGTATTTTAAAATAATAAATTGTGCCTGTCTTTTTTTATAAGAAAAAAAATTAAAATCCACAAATAAAATGCAATAAATTAGAATCCATGCAGTTTTAAATAGTTTTCTTTTCATATAATTTTTATAACCATTTTGTATGTGATAACTGTTATTTAATGCTGTGTGCTTGTGAAAGAGGAGGGAAATGCAAAAAGTTTCTACTTCCATTGCTCGGTGTTGGTACTCCAGCAATATCTGGAGGGCTGCAGTTTACCCACCCCCTGATGCAGATTGTCTGCCCCTCCCTCTCATCAGGAGTAGGCAAGGTGCAGCCCTCCAAATGTTGTTGGGTTACAGCTTCAACTGTTCTTCACTTTTGGGACAGTGCTGCCTAGAGCTGATGGAACTTGCAGTCCAGCAACATCTAGAGATTGGCAGGTTGCCCACCCTTCTCTTCTTCTAACGTGCCTCTTATTGGCTAGCAGCATGCGGATCACTGTTGGATTAGAAGAGAAAATTTACTTGTCCAGATCTTTCCAATTCAGTATATACTACTGAATTTCTGACTAGGGAAGTACATATCATGTTTCCCTTATATTATATTAATTTTTGCTCAAAAAATACATTAGGGCTTATTTTCAGGGGATGTTTTATTTTTTCATGTAGAACAATCTAGATTTATTCAAATACAGTCATATCATCTACTTGCTGCACAATGGTGGAGGGTGGGGTTTCACTTAACTGGGACTTATTTTTGGGGTAGGGATTATATTACAAGCATCCTAAAAACATACTAGGGCTTATTTTCAGGTTAGGTCTTATTTTAGGGGGAACAGGGCAACTATGGGTAGTATATGCTGCTGTGGTGGTAGCATTACATTTAATCCTGCAGATCTTCCTGATCTGGCTAAATTATAGTGGTGGTGCTCTGACGTCAAGAGAACCAAGCAGAAGGCTTAATTTTGCAGACATTCAAGGAGTTTTGGATTAAAAATACATATTCTCTGGATGAGGAAACATGGCTTCTTTCTTCAAGTTTCAATAACTGTTTTCAAAAGGCATGCTGTGAAAGTTTCCTCCATGCATGCATGCATATTTATGTTATTTAAAATGTTTCAGTACCATCTTTTCTGAAAGCCTCTGCAGATTTCCATTTCACTCTGTGTGTATGTTTGTTGTGTGTGTAAAGTTGAATGGGTTCTCAACTATGTTGGCAGTTATGAGCACAGCAAAAAAGAAGCATATGTTGCTTATACAGTATATCACAGAAGTGAGTACACCCCCTCACATTTCATAAATATTTTAGGATATCTTTTCATGTGGCAACACTGAAGAAATGACACTTGGCTACAATGTAAAGCAGTGAGTATACAGCTTATATAACAGTGTACATGTGCTGTCCCCTCAAAATAATGCAACATACAGCCATTAATGTCTAAACCGCTGGCAACAAAAGTGAGTACGCCCCTCCCTTATTGTGATTTAGATATTTTCAATTTATTTCCCTTTGCATAAACTGCTATCAGAACTGGAAGGCAGTAATAATTCAGAGTAGTTCTCCCATGTCTTCTTTTCTAGCTTACATGCTGCCAAGTCAATTTTTTACCTCTTGCAATCCTATAAATTAGAGCCCTCTCTTGGATGCACACCTTCGTGTGGTTGGGGTGTGCGTGAGTGTTTCAAGGAAACTGAAATGTGCTGGAGGAGAGCTTTCTAGATATTCTGAAGCACCAAAAAGATGAACAATGGGCCTTGGATCAAATCAAGCCTGATCTTTCTCTGGAACCAACAATGACAAAGCTTATGTCTGTCATCGCTTGGGCGCATCATGAGAAATCAAGGTTGATTGAAAAAGACAACAATGGTAGGAAACTTGAAGGCAACAGGAAAAGAGGAAGGAGAAATATGAGATAGGCTGACTCCATAACTGAAGCCACAGGCTTGAGTTTACAAGAGATGAGCAGAGCTGTCGAGGAAAGGTCATTTTGAAGGTTATTCATTTCTCCCTAAATTGGTTAACTCGATGGCACCTAGCAACAATGAATCACAGACCTCCAAAAGCTCTATTGTCAACAGCCCTGCTCAGCTTTTGCAAACTCAAGTCAGCGGCTTCCTTTTACTCAGGACTCTCTTATTTGGTCTTCCTCTTTTCCTGTTGCTTTCAACTTTTCCCAGCATTATTTTTTTGTTCGTTAGTTTTTTGTTTCTCCGCACTCCGCGCACCCCCCCCACACCATTTCGTTCGGTCTTCTTATGACGTGCCCTCAAGTACAACAGCCTCACTTTAGTCAAGTTTTTTTTTCCCCTAGGCAGGGTTCAGGCTTGATTTGATTTGGAATCCGTTCCCTTTGTCTTTCTGCTTCCCACCCTTCGATTTCGGCGGGGGCGAGGGTGGGCGCACTCGTGCCCGGAACCGGACAGGAGGGGCGGCGGACAACATTCAGCCCCACCGTCTTTGGGGCGGTTTTTATTTCCGTGGGCAGCCGGGCTGCTTCGCGCTCCGCCGCAGGTGGCGCGCTTTCTCGAGTCCCGT